TAACAGAGCTAAAACAAACAGAACAGATTAATATAATAATTGTTTAGTCCCTAGTTGTGTGAATTCTTCCAAAAGTATTGTTCGTAAGAAATCATTTTGTTATATATATTCTTGTTACTTTGAGCTAAATGTTTTGGTTGATATTCATTTTTCCAAAAAAAATACTGAATCTTGCTATGTAATCTACATACAAGTTCAATGTACTAATTTGGACTACAATTCCCTGCTGACATGCACGCAACTGCCAAAGCTCACGTGTTCTGTTAATTTGTCCTTCGCGCTCCCTTACTAGCACAGCGCTTACCTATGCAGGAGGTAAGTTGTGTGGAAAAAGCTCTGTGAATAATCTGATATTTTATGAAGCTATATGTACTTCTGAGATGAATGTTTGCAAGCATCATCTGTAATAACAGTCATAGCGTTTATGTGCTGCGTTTTAGACAAGTATAGCGCATATTGATCCGAATTTAATACTAATCACGATGGAACTACCGGCGCGTTCTGTTCTATGCAGACGGCATCGGTTTTGGCGCCATTGGGAATGAGATGGAAAAAGTGCTTAAACTTCTGTTTTTCTTTCCCCTCCTTTCCTTCTCCCTTCCTTCTATCCTCTCTTTTCCTGCCTCTTCCTTTCCTATTGTCTTTTCCCCCATTCCCTCATTCCCTCTCCATATTCCTCTCCTATCCTCCTTCTTTTCTCTTTTCGCCTCTCCTTTTTTTTTTTCTTTCTTTTCCTTCCTTTCTCCTTATCTCCTCCTCTTTCTTCTCTGTTTCTCCCTTCCCTTTTGCCTCTTTCCTTACTTTCCTTCCCCTTTCTCCGTTTCTTCTTCGCCCCTTCTTCATCTCTTCTTTCTTCTCCCCTTCTCTTTCTTCTCTTCTTCTCTTTCTTCTTTTTCGTTCTTCTTTTTTCCTCTTTCTTCCTTCTTTCTCCCTTTTTCCCCACTTTTCTTCCCTCTCCCTTCCTTCTCTTTTCGTCTCCTTCTCCTTCTTTCCTTATTCTTTTTTTCTCTTCCCCTTTTCCCTTTTCTTTTTCTTTTCTTCTTCTTTTCTTTCTATTCCTTTCCCTTCTTTTCTTCTTCTTCTCTTCCTCCTTTCTTCCCCTTTCTCTCCCTTTCTCTTTTTTCCCGCCTTTTTTCTTTCTTCTCTTCTCTTTTTTACCCTTCCTTCCTCTTCTTCTCCTTTCTTTTTCCTTCTTCTTTTTTCTTCTCCATTCTTCTTCTTTTTCTTTCTTCTTTCCACCCCTCCTTTTCTCCTTTTTTTCACTCTTCTCTCCTCCCTCTTCCGTCTTTTTTCTTCTTCTCCTCCCTTTTTCCTCTCCCCTCCTCTTATTCCCTTCCTTCATTCCTTCTTCCCCTTCTCTTTTCTCTTCTCTTCTCTCTCCTTCTTTTCTCACTTTTATAGAGCTATGGGCAGTTGCAGCAAACATAATGTTGAAACGGATTGTGTATGTGTGTATGCAGGAACAATAAAGACACAGGCAGAGAGGGAAGCTATTGAGTCAGCCGTTTTTTGTGCGTCCATCCTTTTAATGCGCGCTCTCCGGTAACACCTACCGTTAAACTGGTGCCGTGACCCTTCACTGGATCATCAGGATCAGCTCATTGCAGATCGCCGAGGGAGCTGCTAAGAATCGTGCGCTGTGGTCAGAATTTGTTTAGTGCCAGTAGGGAAAAATATTAATATATTCTGTAGTATATATTATCTGGTTTATTTTTCTTTCTTCACTGATATTTTATTTTTAATTATTTTCTTTGTTCAGTGTTAGATGTACAATGTCTCAGAAAATGAGTAACAGTGAATTTGATGAATATTCTAGATCTACTTTGGGTAGAGGCAGAGGTTTCATGTTTTGTGAGCATTTGGGGAATGAGGCAGGCTCTAGTGGATTTCACAGTGGAGGTGTGGGTCATTCTCAGTTAAAGACAGGAAATGGTAGGGGCAGAGGACGTGGCATGAGTCCGGGGTGGTCTCCTCTGGGGCAGTACTTGAAAGAAAGTCCTAAAATCTCTACTCCTATGAGTGACAGTGTAAGCTTTCAGCACTTGGCTGATATAGTGGGTCAGTTGGGAATGCAAATAGGAGACTCAATCGCATCAAGATTGATGACAGCAGGACTCTTTGATAAAGACAGTGTAAGTGACAAACCAAAGACCAATACAGTTCCTTGTTCTATTAGACAAGACGCACCTCAAGTGCCTGGGCATGTTAAGACTGAACACGAGCCCAGAGTGTTCAGAGGGGACGGTACCGACAAATTTACAGTCAAAGAGTGGGTTGACATGACCAAGACATACCTGAAAAAGCATAAATGTGAGTTGACTGACCAGGCAGAGGAGATTTTAGGCAGACTAATGGGCAAAGCCAGAGATGTGGTAAAAATAGCTCTGAAGAGTAACGAGTCACTGGATGTGAAGCGGAATCCATGTCTTCCTCTTGAAGACTTCTATACCACTTTGCCCAAGCACCAGGAAAGCCCTGTTGATTACTGGATTAGGCTTAATAAAGCGGCAGATACAGCTGATGAGGGACTACAACGTCAAGGACGGAAAATGGAGAACATTAGTGGAGAGGTGGCTCGCATGTTTGTTAAACACTGCCCTGATCCCAGTCTATCTTGTATTTTTAAATGTAAGCCAATCAGTGAATGGACATCAAGAGATATTCAGGTGCGACTTGATGAATACCAGAGAGAATTGCGGGCTTCAGCAAAGGCCAACATCCACACACGCTTTAAGAGTCATCCTGCTGCAGTTATTGAAACTGAATCACACCAAACAGTGTGTACCCCAGTTTTAACTACAGCTGAAAACCAGCCAGGTTGCTCCTCATGTCCTTCCTACACGTCTGCCTTACCACGCACTACTGTCTGTCCAGTTTCAGCTTGTCCCCACTCTAGACCCCTTGTCCCTCGCAGACCCCTTCTCTTTCACAAAGTGTCCAACAATCAGATGACGGTGTTCTTGGTCGCATGATGAACATGTTGGAACAGGTACTGTTGAAAGTGGAGCAACGCAGTTCAGCCCCTTCTGTTAATCGGCAGAAATTACGTCATGATTTAAATTCCCTGCCATGCAAAGTCTGTGGAAAAAACAGCCATTCTACACTGTCGCATTGCAAGTCTGACCATCTTTGCTTCAGCTATCTAGCTCCTGGTCACTCCAGACAGCAATGTCCAGACAGGCTTTCATTACATTCTAAGCTAATGTGTGCAGCCAACAATGCATGTTCAGGTGGAGGCATGGACATTGTGTATCAGAACACCCACATTGTCGGCCAAAGCGACAGTTTATTCTACACACCTGTGAGAGTTAGTAATAAAGTAACTCTGGGTGCCATGTTAGATAGTGGTTCAATGGCATGCACAATGAATGAATTGGCGGAACGTTCTCTCCTTGATGCAGGTGCCATAAGTGAGCATGACAGGTTCACTTCTGATGTCTCGCTAGTGGGTGTTGGTGGTTGACGTGTGAGTCCGAGATCAGCCTGAAATGGAAGTATATGGCTGCAGAATCATTGTGCCTACTTTAGTAGTAGAAGGACAGCATGATGAATTAATTCTGGGAACCAATGTAATAAAACACATTCTGTGAGAATCGAAGAAATGTGACCATTACTGGGAGGCCATCTCTAAGCCTTGCTCAGACCCTGAAACAGAGCAGTTCTTATCCATGCTGGCTGGCTTACATCGCTGGAGGGGTGATAAGATACCAGACAAAATAGGAACAGTTAAGTGCAACTCTGCCACCTATCTCGAGCCTGGTTGTGAGCATCTCATATGGGGAAAGCTGCCGAAGACCACCTTGCTTTCACCAGGCAGTGCAGTCATGACAGAGCCCACTACATCTTGTTCAGCTCCAAGGGGTATCATAGTTGCCAGGGTCGTGACCCCATTGTGGGCAGACAGATGGGTTCCACTGAAGATCATGAACATTTCTGATAAGCCTGTTTATCAGGTAAAGACTTAGCCAGAGAGGAACTAGAGTCTGTTGGCCTCAACAACTTGGACTTAAGTCTTTGTGATGTATCAGAGGACTGTAAGAATGATCTGGCTGACCTCATCGTACGCTATGAAGACACATTCTCACGTCACCACCTAGACTGTGAGAAGCAGAGGGATTTGTCCACAGGATTCATCTCACTGACCACAAACCATTCAGGCTGCCTTTCCGACGAGTTCCACCAAGCCAGTACCACAAGCTGAGACAGGTCCTAAATGAAATGGAAGAGAAAGAAATCATACGGAAGTCAACTAGCGAGCATGCCTCGCCCTTAGTACTCGTATGGAAGAAAAATGGGGAACTTCGTTTGTGCACAGACTTCCACTGGCTGAATAAAAGAACTGTTAAAGATGCACACCCTTTACCCCACCAAGCGGACTGCCTGGCTGCACTTGGAGGCAACTTCCTATTCAGCACAATGGATTTGACTTCCAGCTTTTACAATGTGCCATTACATGAGGATGACAGAAAATACTCAGCTTTCACTACACCAATGGGATTATATGAGTATTGTCGTCTCCCACAAGGCCTTTGCAATAGTCCAGGAAGCTTCATGCATATGATGACTGCCATTTTTGGTGAACAAAATTTTCTCAGTTTGTTATGCTATCTCGATGATGTGCTGGTTTTCGCTCCCGATGAGAAGACAGCACTGGAACGTTTAGAAATGGTATTCAGCAGGCTACGTGGGCATAATCTGAAATTGGCTCCTTAGAAGTGCCACTTTTTGAGAAATTCAGTTAAATTTCTTGGACACATTATTGACAAACAGGGTGTATCTACTGATCCAAGTAAGGTAGAGACTGTGTCACATATGTCTAAGGCAGATTTGATGGAAGCTGATGGTGTGACTCCTTCAGAGAAACATATTAGGTCATTCTTAGGAATGTTGAATTATTATCAACATTTCATTCCTAATTACTCTGCTCTTGCTCGACCTCTCTTTTCATTGTTGGCTGGTCAGAAAAGCAAATCAAAGGGTCACAGATTACACAGAAATGCTATAGTTAGACGAAAGCTGAGCCCCTGTGACTGGACTGATGAACATGACCAAGCCGATGACATGCTTAAAGCAGCCCTTGTCAACTCTGTTGTGTTGGCCCATCCAGATTTCAGCCGTCCTTTCCTACTTTCTACCGCCGCTTCTTTGGATGGACTCGGAGCAGTCCTATCACAGGTTCAGGAAGGCGAAACCAAAGCTAGACCAATAGCGTTTGCCAGTAAGTCCCTGACTCGATCCCAGAAGAATTATCCAGCTCATAGACTGGAATTTCTAGCGCTGAAATGGTCAATCTGCGACAAGTTCAGCCATTGGTTAAAAGGACATTAATTCACGGTTTGGACGGATAATAATCCGCTCACTCACATAATGACTAAGCCAAAGCTTGATTGTTGCGAGCAGCGCTGGGTTTCTGAATTGGCTGGTTACACTTTTGACATTAAGTATGTGCCAGGCTCGAGAAATGTTGTAGCTGATGCCCTAAGTCGTGTGCCCTTCATCAAATCAAATGTTGGTTACAGGCTGCTCAGTGAGCCATACGATAAGCTCCTTAGTGAAGTCAAAGAATTGTCTGGCACATCAGTGGAAGAAACATTTCGGTTATCGACCAACACAGCTGTTGCAAGAGTGCAAGAACAGCGCATACATGTACTGAACAACCTAATGTCTCCATCCATCATGCCCAGTCTGTACATGCCCATTTAGTTCACCATTTGCCTCAGACAGTTGCAATGAAAGAAGTGTCAGCTATTTTACAGTCTCACAATGATTGGGAATTGGGAGCAAAAACCCGTGCAGTGGAAATGGCACACTATCTCCCTCAACTCATCCCTGATGGACTAGATAACCTGCCTAGTTATTCTGAAAAAGAATTGCATGATGCACAATGCCAGGACAAGACCCTTTTACGTGTGCTGTTTTATGTGGAAAGAGGAGAGAGAAATTTAAAGAGACGGCCCAAGTTTTAAGATTCCTGAAACATTGGGAGGAGCCTGTATTGTGCAGTGGTATCCTGTACAGAGTCTGTCATGATCAGACTTCAAAAGTCAAACGACATAAGTATGTTGTTCCTGAGTCTTTTAAAGACACAGTTTTAAAAGGGGTTCATGAAAGTGCTGGCCATCAGGGCCAGTCAAGGACACTCAGCATTGTCAGACAGAGATTTTTTTGGCTACACATGGACAGAGACGTTAGGGACCATGTCCGCCCCTGTCAACGCTGTATTGTGAGCAAGGTGCTAGAGCCTGATGGTAGAGCGCCATTAGAAAGTATTGTCACTTCTAGGCCACTGGAGCTTGTGTGCATTGACTTTTGGTCAGCTGAGGACTCGCATAACCATTTTACCAGGCTGGCTCAGGCCTTCACTTGCAAAGACCAATCTGCAAAACAAGTGGCAAAAGTTCTCTGGGACAAGTATTTTTGTGTCTATGGATTCCCTGAGAAGATCCACAGTGATCAGGGACAAGTTTTGAGAGTGAACTGATTGCTGAGCTCCTCAGAACAGCTGGTATCAGGAAATCACATACAACCCCGTATCATCCGATGGGGAATGGCTCTGTTGAGCGTTTCAATAGAACACTTGGCAACATGATAAGGGCTCTGTCTCCGGAGGCGAAAATGAATTGGCCTAGGCATTTACAAACGCTCACATTCATGTACAATTGTACAGTTCATGAAACAGCGGGTTATGCCCCTTTTTACCTGATGTATGGCAGAATTCCCTGTCTTCCAGTAGACATCTTGTTTAGGAACATTCTGAGTGATCCTAACGTAACCAGCTATGACAAATATGTGACAGGGCTGTCTGAAGACTTAAAAAGGGCAATTCTGATTGCTCAGGAACATGCAAACAAAGAGCAGAACAGACAGGCCAAACTATATAACAGGAGAGTAAAGGGAACAACAATCGAAATTGGTGACCTTGTGCTTGTTGCCAATAAAAAAGAAAGAGGAAAAAGGAAAGTAGCTGACAGGTGGGAATCAGCAGTCTACACGGTCATTGACAAGAATGCTGGAACACACACACATATAAAATACGCAACACTCTTACTGGCCTAGAGAGAACAGTCCATCAAAACCTTCTCATGTTGGTTAATTTCTTACCTATTAAAGGTGCACAAGCAACCTCACATCCTGCATCTTTTGTATCCACTGAGCTCTCTGCTGACTCTGGTGATAGTGATGTAATGGCAGATGGATCACCACAAATAGAGCTGGAAACCTGCTTATCTCAAAGTGATGGACAGGTTGAAGTCAGCCACCATTCCTATGACCAAGCATTAGTCCCTGATGAATCACTGCATGTAGTAGATGTGTTTTGTGGCCAAGACAGCAATGATGCAAATGTTTTACCTACCCCTGCCAAATCAGATCCAGAAGTGAGAACCAAGGAGTGGATTTTACAGCTTCCTACTGATGGGCAATACTCAACTCCTTGTAAAGGAAACCTCACCAGTCCACTGACTCACTTGACTGATGATACAGCATCTATCAGAGCAGTAGACAACACTGTCTCTGAAATTACCTACCCTAGATATTACAATGAGACTGTTCATGCCTATGCCAGTTTACCTGGATCTGACTGTCCCAATATTGCATCAGTTCAGACTGACTGTGTTAGTGGGGTCCAGCATACTGACAGGACATGCACAGACAATCACATACAAAATTCTGATCCTGTCGTACATTTCAGGACAAGGGTGGTTCGTTCTATTCGACCTGTTAACAGACTTCTTTACACTGTCAAGACAGGATGTTGCTAAAAATTTACAGCAGAATTTTCAGTCAGTTTACAGGTCATTTGTTCAGGCTTTTAGGGGTTAATTTAAAAAAAAGAACGTTTTTGGGGGTTTTATTTATGTTTCTATTGATGTGCATAGTTTATTTCTGAGTGCTTCTTTTATTCTTTTGCTTTACTGTGCACGATGGACACGTATACGTACATATAGTGATTTGTAATGTTTAGGAATTATGGAAGTTATGGGTTAGTGTGGGGTGTAAAAGGCATCCTGCAACCGGTAGTTGGTTGGAGAGCTTGACCATCACTCTCTTTCCACTTCATCCTTATTGGATGCTTGAGGAAGTCGGTCTTCCCGATTGTGGAACCCAAACGGTGTGAAACTTTATTTACTGATTGTCCCAGTGTGTACATAATTTTGTCAGAATTCAGTGGGGGTGGGTGTAACAGAGCTAAAACAAAAAGAAAAGAATTAATTATAATAATTGTAGTCCTTAGTTGTGTGAATTCTTCCAAAATTATTGTTCGTAAGAAATCATTTTTGTTATATATTTCTTGTTACTTTGAGCTAAATTGTTGTTTTATATTTCATTTTCCAAAAAAATACTGATTCTTGCTATGTTAATACTACATACAAGTTCAATGTACTAATTTGGACTACAATTCCCTGCTGACATGCGCGCAACTGCCAAAGCTCATGTTTTCTGTTAATTTTGTCCCTTCGCGCTTCCCTTACCCCCAGCAGCGCTTTACCCTATGCAAGAGACCTATGGGCAACATAATGTTGAAACGGATTGTGTATGTGTGTATGCAGGAGCAATAAAGACACAGGCAGAGAGGGAAGCCATTGAGTCAGCCGTTTTCTGTGCGTCCATCCTTTTAATGCGAGCTGTCCGGTAACACCTACCGTTACACAAACAAAATCATTCAGAGTGGTTTGCTGTAAATGCTCCACCTGGCTGATCTGTGGTGGCATCTGTCACTGCGATCTCTCTCTCGATGCCCCGTATGCTGATGAGGGTGTGGATTTCGGACTTGACGTGGGCCGGGGCTCGGCTCAGCTCCAGCACAGCGTTCAGGAAGTCTGCCGCCTCTGTTGCGTACGGGAAACAGGTGAAGGGCAGACGAGTGCACGGCCTGTTGTCCACTTGAAGAAACAATAGCGACCTGCAGCAGACGGAAGAAAATTACAACAGAAAGTTGTGAACTTACTGAAAGGCTGAAGAATGTTTTGACATATCTGTTTAATTACTGTGACTCTTCCAGTTACTGCCAGACATCTTGTGTCCTGCAGGGGCGTAGATAAAAAGAGTGTCAAACTCAACCACTAAAGGAGCCATACTAAAAAAACCTCAACAAATCTGTGGGCCAGAGGAAAAATGGTTTTATTTAATTTTTAATTAATGTTGTGCTATAACTCCAACTGGCTTATGTTTCTTCAAAATATGCAAAAACTTCAACAGTACAAATATAGACACCTGCAGTAGACCTTGAAATATTATATGAATACTTGAAATACTCAAAATTTAAATGTCCCTGGGAGCTTGGCCTTTCAAACCAGTCTGCTTGCTTGAAATAGACACCAGGCATCATTTCTTTGCTGCGAGTTTATTAACATGTGAGCTCAGTTTCTGAGCTGCTGAGCTAATGTTAAGTGTTTATATTGGCTGAAATACAGTTAGTGTATTTGGAGACATGACTGGAGCAGAATTGCGCAGAACTGTGTAGAATTGAGGTGTAACCACTGTCTCATAGATTGTTGTTTGGGTTGGAGAGTCAGAGCACACATTATGTTGCAGTGCATTCTGGGGACTGTAGTGCCACACATTGTGAAACGGACTAATGTTGATAGAAAATTAAAATGGATAGGATTGTGTTGTGGGCCTGATCTGGCCTGCGGGCCTTGCGTTTGGCACATGGGTGTAGACAGAACCTTTAGAATGGTGTGGCCAGGCAAGACCCAGAGATTTCATTGAGGTGGCACACTGCTTAGAACAGGGGTTGGCAACCCAAATGTTATAAAGAGCCATTTTGTCCTTTCAACAAAAATCAAACCACCTTGGGAGCCACAACACTTTATGTCCATTTTACTATCTTGGCTGTAAATATGTCTCAGTATGTGCTAATATACTAGTATAGGCAAAAAATATATAATATTAACAAAAACACAGCCTTACTTTGCTCTGCTTTAAGCTTTAGCTCAGCTCTAGCTGCTTTTCTCGCGTCTCGGGCAGGAAACACAAGTAGAATAGTTTCTTGTAAAATGTCTTAATGTTCTTCTTATTGACCAGCTTCTTGTTTGAATTTTCTCATTCCACCTTAAATGATGCCTGACGCGCCAGAATGTAACTGCTGCTTTTTAATGTTTAACAGTGTCTCGTTGCAGATTAAACATATCAGGAAACCAGCTGGAGTGATTATAAATGCAAATTTATAAATGTCCATTCGTTAAAACTGTATTAGAATGATCAGCAGAGCTTTATTTTACTGCAAAGGAGGATTATTTTATTTTTATATAAAAATCTAATTCTGCTGTGGAGCTGCAACAGGGCAGTTAAAGAGCCACATGTGGCTCCGTAGCCACCTGTTGCCGACCCCAGAGTTAGATATAAGAAACAATAAAATATCATTACTTTAAAAAAATGACCTCTAAATTGTGTTGTTTTGTTTTCTGTACATATATAAATGTGTCCATCTTTTCCACATAAATATAAAATAGTACTTCATTAAAAATATTGCTGAAAGCTAATTAAAAAGACAAATAATGTGTTGACATATTTATCCATGAGGAAAATATGTATTTGAATCAAGTAAACACATCACTTTTTTAGGGCACAATGTTAACTTTCATATAGATATAACAGAAAAAAACATTTTATATAGACAGACTATAGTAGTTATTAATGCAGGCTGCCCTCACTACAGGTTATGCCTTATGTCTAATAAGTAGACAATACTGTATAGGGGAACCCACAACACATGCATGAATTAGTTAGTTAACGTGATAAATGATTATAGCTGACTAAGTTTTGATCATGAACTCATCACATAGCCTACTTCACAACATAGCTAACAGAGCAGCACTGCTGAAGGGACCCTGCGCAAAGTGACTCGCCTGTTTTCTGAGTAAATTAGCCAATCACAGCAAGATAAGTTAATTATGAAATGCAGCATCATCAGACTCTAATTGGTTACTACTCTGATTGCATCAGTTTTTAAAATGGATGCTTTATTGATGATAGCCAACTGATGACGGCTGTCTGGCTCACTTTCCGTTACTGAACTGACCAGAAGGGTGGCCATGCTTAATTCCAGGGAAGCACAACCCACTCCTTGGCTATGCTTCTGATGTTTTGCCCTTAAAGTGATGGCTAAAAAGACAAAGTGTTCGTCTTACCTCACACTGTAATTCAGGAGCACCTTCACAAGAACACTTTCATCTCAGGCCATCAGTGCAGAACCGAAATAGCCCCCTTACCCGTTGCTCTTGTAGGTGGGTGGTTCTCTGTGAAGATCTATCAACTGCTGAGCATCCAGACTGGACAGGTCAGCATTGAGCTGGAAAGGAACCACTCCCCTCAGTTTGACGCTGGTCTGGAGCAGGATGCTAAGAGCCCACAGCAAAGAGCTGTTCTGGAAGGGACCTTTCTGGAAGGGGATGGTGGTCTGCAGGACCAGGGCCCCTTTGGCCCAGTTGGGACGCTGGTTTTTATAGCAGTCTGAGCCATCCCACCCACAGGGGGCAGTGTGGCAGCCATGCTCACAGTGCATGTTGTCATAGTGGTCACGGCAGTACAGAATGTAGCCTGAACTGGGAGAGAGGAGTGATCACCATTAACTGGTTTATATAGTGTCTACAGTCATTGTCCACTTTATTAGAAACCTTTAGAAGCACTTAGATTACTTCCATTCACTGGCCACTGGTAATGTCCATGTATCTTATAGCTTCACAATATGGGTTTATGGGTGGTTGGTGACCCAGATATTTGAGGAAAGCAAGTATATTATGAAAATGTGTGTACATTTGGCGAACTAGTTAGCCAGCTTAATCTTAGTTAGCTAGAATAATGAAAAGATGACCGATAGCAACAACAATAAATCTCTAAAACTTGTTGACTAGATATTATTGTGATACGAGACTACATAGATGGGCTAACAACAGGCATTTTTTTCATCAGGCAATGTTGATGAGCACACCATCGCCCCCTACTCTGAGCTCTGCTTTTCACACAGTGTTGAATTGGCTAAAAATGTCACCCTCACATTTGGTCCCACCCACATGTAGCCCAAAATTTCTGTTGGTTATCCCCAGACATTGTTGTTATGAAATCACACCAGGTCCCACAAGGCTAAGCGAAGGCCTAGGATGGTTAACACAAACTGTGCATCAACAGATCGGCTACAGTCTCTAACTATACACCAGCAAGGGGGAATTACAAGGTAGAGGTTTCTGATAAAGTGGCCAGTGACCAGTGAGTATATTGATGTGCAATGATGATTTCTTACTTGCAGGATTCTTTGTTTTTGAGACAGTCGAAGCCATCTCTCAAGCACTGCGACCCGGAACACTCATTGTCACACACTCCATTGGCAAACTTGGTCTTACACATTTTGTCCACTGGACAGCTGCTCCATGGGTCAGTGGGAGAGGCTTTTGGTTTAGAGAGAGCAGAGAGATAGTCACCTAACAAATATCAAATCACGTTTATTGTCACATCACATTTACACAGGTGCGAAGGTGACAATGTACAGTTTTTTGTACAGTAATATGTTATAAAAGCTATGATATGTACATATGAGAATCTGATGATAAATGAGATGCAGGGTTAGAATATAAGCCAAACTATGGTGAGCCTCCCTGAAGGGTCTGAAGGGTCAGAAGCACAAAATGTTTTTCTGCACATAGTGTGCAGTTACACATTTCCACCAGAGGGGTCTCCAAATCTCCAAATCTTACAATGTATAGCTTTAACAGCTGGATGACTGGCACAATGCTAACAGATGGCTATAAGTTTCTATTACTTGTAAGCCACATTAGCCACGTAGCTCCAGTGCAAAACTAAAAAAGTAAACTTTGGACACCAAATGCATCTTGGCTGATTGACATTTGGCTTAAGGGGAAAGCTGTAGATTTGGTTTGTGGGCAGCATTTTAACCTACTGTAATAACATAGAAGTGTAATAGACTTGCTATGTCCAGCTTTTATGTAACATTTTCATAGTGTTATTCTGTCGCCACACTATATGATGTTGCCAATTCTTTTCATTATTACAGGACTGCAGATGGCTTTCAAATAGTGTAAACAAGCTAAAAATGGAGCTTGTGCTGGAAAGAGCAAAACTGTAGCTGTAAAAGTGGGTCAGATACTGTAGGGACTGCACGAGGCGTGTCCTTGGCCTGAGCCATAGAGGAAACAGGAAACTGGGTCTGAACCAAACAGGAAGTTTCCAGGAGAGGTGGATGGCAACAGGAAATGGAGTGGAATGGGAGCGGAGTTAAGGTTGAAGGGCATCAACGTGGTGATGAAGAACGTAATGGAGAGGAACAATAGGTTAACAGGTGTAGAGGACAATGAAGAAAGGAGACCGTTATAGACACAAATAAACAAAGGGCACCAGAAGTGTACGAAGCGTGAGAAGCACAGTTGGACTAAAGTAACAGCAATTAGTCAAGTAAAGGTTTTGTTACCAAAAAAAAAAAACATTCTGTTACAATACATTAAAAAGTGACAGATTCAGAAAACATTTAGAACACAACCTGGTGCGGCACACGGGAATATCTTTACTTAATTCACATTGTTCCTCACTGTTTATTGTGTTTAGTTTTCTTCATGTAATTATATGTAATTATTCTGTCAGCATGTTTTATGAAAATTCACTTATCATTTTAATGAATATCCAAAAATTCAGTTCCAAAAGTTCAACCTTTTTTTTTTCATTTTAATCACCTGCTATGCTCAGTAAATGTATACTGTCAGTTTACTAGTTATATACTTCTATCTTACTTCCCAAAACCAAAACATATCAGCCACTCTAACTAAAGCTAAATCTTAGCCCAAAACCTAAACCTAATCCTAACACTCTCTCCAACATTGACCTTAAACCCTGACACTTAACCTAAACCGTAGCCCTAAAACTGGACCTGAACTATGTTTGATTGTGAGTAGGCCATAGGGGCACCACCAGCGATCCAACATTCGTCCTTATATCTGCCCATCTGTCTGTTTCTTCATCCATCCTGCCATTTGATCCATCCATTCATCACTGTCAGTTGCTAACTTCTGACCTCACAGTGATTCAATTAATTCATTATGAAATGATTCAGTGTATCAACTATCTAACTACTACTACTATTACTATTATTATTATAAGAAATTCTAATCAGTTCTAACATTCCAAAATCAGTGCACTGTACTCGCCACCTGGGGGTCCTAAGTGACATCCTGTTTGGGGGCCTAATCAATCTAAGTCATATTATTTTGTATGAGGGAGTTAAAAATGAATTAATGTTTCAGTCATTTAATGGCATCAAAAAAGCAAAGGTAACATAATAAAATATGAACTACTAGGGAAACAGAACCTTCAAAAGACTAAACTGTCTACATAAATATAATATAATATAAAGCATAAAATGTGGCCTGTGCAAAAGTTATGGCACATTTTCATAAAAAAAAAGCAACAAAAATCAACCTTTGATTTTCCAAGTAAAAATATATTAACATCCTCTACAGGGAACAAACTTACACTGACTTATACTGACATTTTTGCTGCTTATTATTTTAGTGCACATTTTCTATTTATTTCCTTGAGTTTAACATATTTGAAAAAATGAAACATAAAATGTGCATAAAACATGAATCAAACGGAAAACATGCCATAACTTTTTTGCACTGGCCACATTTGAAATGTCATAGCAAATAATCAGTAATTGTGTATTAATATGTGCAGAAGTGTTTTCTGTGTAGAGGATGTGTTCACTTGTTTTTGCTTAGAAAAAACAACAAAATATGTTATTTGATCAGGGGTGTTCAAACTTTTGCATACTCCTTATACTGTAGTACAATCAAAAAAATCATCCAACAAGGTTGTTGAACTTAGGAAATGAAAATGTTGCCATTAAATACATAATTATGTTGTCTTTCACTAACATTATTACATAAAATGGACAAAAAGTAAAAAAAGTGCATTTTAATGAATGAACATTTTATACAGGTTTTTTTTAGTGTATTTTGATAATTATTACAATGTTTATGGTTTGTAGTGATGCTCTGATGCTCTTCCTTCTCTGTATTTATCCATCCATTTATCTACCCACCAATTTATCACAGGACGATCATTTTGACTGACCTTGACATGGTGTGCTGAAAAGCCATAGGATGAAGATCAGAGCCACCATCAGGACCATAATCAACACTCAGCTTCTTCTTCTTTCTTCTTCAAGGTGTGTTGGACCGAGACGACCGTGTGTTTCTGACTTTTTGATCCGTTAGGTCTCTCCTTCCCAGCTCCTTCGCTAAAATTCCCTGATCCGTTTGAACAGTAATGTCTACACACCTACACTCCCCCCATCAACACCCACCCGCTTTTCTCTATCGTTCTGTTTCAGAAGCACTGCGGATATCTGGACTACTTCCTGCCACTGTGTGGAAAAGAATAGGTCTGTATGTGTGTGTGTCCGGTTGTGGCCAGTTTGCAGACTTCAGTGTTTTTTGTTTTTGCAAAAGTGAGTTTACAGTACGAGCAATAGAATAGAGCTGAACAGAATTGTTTTTCAACTCTGTCACCACTGCATACTTAACATTAAAAAAGCCGTACATTGCACTTCCACATGTTAATGAGTAAACTTTTCAAAAAATTTTCAAAAAACACTGATTTCTTTACAGAGGTGGTGAACCAGGGGTTACAATGTATACACTACAAACATTGCAATATTTACTATCTAAAACCACCAATGAATCTACACGTGTCTTCTGAGTTGTTATATGTAATGCTGATGATGGTAAAACTGTGGTAAATTTGAAAAAAAAAGTTTTCTTTGAGGAATATTTGGCCTTACCCTACGCTGCATATCCCTTACATCTTCTAAAAATACATTTTAGGCCAAAAACCTAAATCTCAAAACTCCCATAAATCAACGTCTCTGGCATGGGGAATCATGTTCATAATCATTTTGTGCAATAACTTTCTGTGAGGGAACTTTTAGAGGTGGACATCTGGTTCTTATCACCACCACTGTGAACAATTCTGACTCTGTAAGTTTCTCTAGAATTGAGCATTTCACACCAAACCACTCTGTGGTTGACTGACTTTGTTTACATATTGATGATTTAAGTAGGCATTTTTTTTTAATTGGTGGAATTCCCCTTTAAAGACAAAATATTAACTGTTAAAAATCATTAATGGGAAAATGATGTGCACATTTGAATCAAGTCAATTTAATGCATCACTTATTTCAGCATATACTGTGTACTAATCTTAACAGTATGATTTTGGCAGTTAAGAATCATGCTTTTCTATCTGGCAGTCTCATGGACGAGTCTGGTTTTGGCGAATGCCAAGGGAACATTACCTGCCTGACTGCATTGTACCAACTGTAAAGTTTGGTGGAGGAGGGATAATACTATGGGGTTGTTTTTCAGGGGTTGGAAGGCCCCTTAGTTCCAGTGAAGGGAAATCTTAATGCTTCAGCAGTCCAAGACAATTTGGACAGCTTCCAATTTTGTGGAAATGGCCTGGGAAAAACCATTTCTGTTCCAGCATGACTGAGCTCCAGTGCACAAAGTAAGGTCCATAAAGGCATGTCTGGGTGAGTTTGGTGTGGAGGAACTTGACTGACCTGCACAGAGCCCTGACCTGAACCTTTTGGGATGAACTAGAATGGAGATTGTGAGCCAGGCCCTCTCGTCCAACATCAGTGTCTGACCTCAAAAATGCTCTTTTGGATGAATGGACAAAAAATCCAGACACTCCAAAATCCTGTAGAAAACTTCGCAGAAGAAAAGCTGTTATAGCTGCAAAGGGGGACCAACTCCATATTAATGCCTATGGATTTAGAATGGGATGTCAGAAAAGCTCCTGTAGGTGTAATGTGTAGGTGTCCCAATACTTTTGTCCATATAGTGTATTGTAGTGTTCATCTATTGGACTATTTTGGCAATAGAGTGTTTAACTTTAATAGGATAGCTTAACTTATTATTCAGTAACAGCTAGAAAATAAGTGTGTAATTTTTAGATACAATTTGTAACCACTTTTTATTATTTATTTACTTATTACCAATCTGTAAAGTGCTACCCATAAATGATTAGATTAGGTAAGAAAGATCAGAAAAAAAGTAACAAGAACAAGGATATTTAATGCAAATGGGTAATGGAAACTTTGAAAACAAAAAAGCAAAAGCTAACTGAATGCTAAAGTGAATCAATACATGTTTAGTTGTTAACACAAATTAAACATTTTTGGCTGGCATATAAGGTTTATACAAACATTTTAAGTACTTTATTTATTCATGTACTTTTAACACAATATATTCAAATAGTTCTTCTGAAATCAAGGGGATTAATAGGGAGTTTGCCTCCCTTTATTACAGTAACAGCCTCTTCTCTTCTGCGAAGGCTTTATACTAGATGTTGGAACATTGCTGTGAGAATTTCATTGTATTCACCCACAAGAGCATTAGTGAGGTCAGCTACTGGTGTTGGATGATTAGTTCTGGGCCAAAACTCATCCCAAAGCTATTGGATGGAGCTTCATCACTTCAGAGAATGCAGTTGCTCCACAGACCAATGCTGGGGGGCTTCATACCCCTTTAGGGCACACTTGACATTAGACGTGGTGACCACCTCAAGCCCATGCACAGCTGCTCCAGAGCATCCAATTCTACTCTATATGCCTTTCTTTGGAGATTATACGAGCTGTCAGCAAGAGGAGCTCAGTTTACTTAACGGAGGGGTGTCTGAATACTTTTGGACACGTGTATGTTCATACATATGTATGTATTTGTTTATAACGGCTGCGTTTTGAATATTCCCCTCTTGGCCACGCGATGTCGCCATTTCGCGCTTTTGCTGTTTGCCTGTTCTAATGGTGGAGAGCTTGTGACTGCCGCAAGTCTACTCGACGCTGCGGTTTCATCTTATTTTTTGGATTTATTTTGCAGTTTGGAGCTTTCAAACATGTCATTTCTCCATGTAAGTACCGACAAAAGCTTGTAATATATCTTTAAAGGTGTAAAGGCGGTTTGAAAAACGTGGGGACTTTCCCACCCGTCTTACTTTCGGTTTCATGTGGGTGAACTAACCTAGCTTGCTGACGAAACCCTCGCCGGGGCAGACCTGAACTGAACAGCCTCGCCACCTCGTTCAGGGCTGTTTTTCCAGTTTGTAGGTCTGTGTAGATAAAAACTAGTTATATATTTATAAACCCTGAGTTTTTAGCATTCGGGCTTCAACGTTTGGCCGCTGAGAGGACTAGCAAGTTAGCCAAAGAGCTTATTTTCCTCATCAGGCGTTCACCTTTAAAGGTGCCTCACAACGTAAGTATCGTTTATAACTGTAATTGTTTTATTTAACTTTGCATATTATCGCTTATAATCCTTGAAATTAAGGTTAAACGATTTGTATAGCTTTTGTAACGTATATTTTCAAGGTTAGAACTGTTGCTCATGTAACCTAGCTAAGTGAAAGTGAAAGCAAAGAAATCGTTAAAAATAAGCTAAACTATGTTATACACTCTTAAAGTGCGTCCTTTAAGGGTTCTTTAGTAAAGGGAATGGTTCTGTTTAGAACCATGAGTTCTGTATAGGATCATTTGCATGCTTAAATGGTTCTTGGCATGGTGAAATGGTTCTTCAGATTGATGAAGAACGTGTGTCTTTTTGAACAGGGTTCTATATAGCACCAAAAAGGGTTCTTCTACTGTTATAAACTTGACACACGAGCAGAACCCTTTTTGTAGCTATATAGAACCATTTTTGCAACACGTTTTCCATCAACCCGAAGAACTATTTCCCCAGGCGAAGAACCATTTAAGCATGAAATGGTTCTAATGGTTCTAAATAGAACCTTTTACTTTACTGAACAACCCTTGAATAACCATCTTATTTCGGAGTGTACTCGGTTTATTTCTCTTTGGATCTGTAAGCGTTTGAAATGATATTTTTTTTCTTCCGCTCAGTCTTTTCAGATAACATTTCTGAGAAATTTCGGTTTCGTCAGTTCAGTTTTAGTCTAATTAATTTAGTTCTAATTACGTTTTTTTGGTCTGATGATAAGTTCTACAAAGAACTCCTGACATCATTTTCTTTCTTCAGTTAGATTTTGGTGGCTACTTTTACGTCTATTTGATTCATTATTTCATTTGCAGTAATAATTTTACATCAGTAACACACAGTGAAAGTAAAACTTCCTTGGGTATAATTGTTTGTCTGTGTTTGAGCACCACTGTAACTTCTCAGTAGTCTAAATTTTAGGGAAATATCAGAATCAGAATCACTTTATTTTACTAGGTATGTCATATGTACAAGGAATTTGTCTTGGAGGGTGCACATATATGTGACATGAAACATACTCAACAAACCAGACAAGCAAACAGACTGTTAGTAAATTTTGACTGGGAAAAAAATATTTAAAGTTAAGTATGTAAAGTTAAAACCATGTTAAATCTTGAGTTGCACAGATTTATACAAACCTTTTCAACTGTTTTACTTTTCATGCACTTTTAACACAATAAATACTAAAATTTATAGATACCACCTCATCCAGCGTGTCTTCTGAAATCAAGGGTATTAATAGGGAGTTTGTCTCCCTTTACTGCAGTTACATTCCGTACTCTTTTTTCTTAGGCTTCATACTAGATGTGAAATCATTGCTGTGATTTGTTTGTGTGTTTGTTGCTGATGTTTGATGATCAGTTCTGGGCCAAAACTCATCCCAAAGCCATTTGGATGTGGCTCCATCCCTTCAGAAAATGCAGTTGCTCCACAGACCAGTGCTGGGGGGCTTTATACCTCTTTAGCCCAGGCTTGGCATTGGACATGGTGACCGCCTTAGGCTTTTAATAGGCCGATATAAATATTTGTAAAAAAAAAAAACACCTGTACCGTAGTGCAAATAGCATTAGGAGAGACTGTAATACAGTAAGGAGGTGTCCACTGTAGTTAATGAGCTACAGCTCTGGGGAAAAAAAGCTGTTTGCATGTCTGGTTGTGCTGCTTTGATGGCACTGAATTTTCTACCAGAAGGACGTGGCTGGAAGAGGTGTTGTCCAGGATGAAGGACGAGATACTCTTATTTATCTACATTTAACAATTTTCAATTTCAACATTTACAACAGTGCATCTAATCATTATGACTGTCACACTTTTGTGAAGAACATTCAACATTTTTTGGCTTTTAATTCATACTGTTAATTGTTAAAGCAATTGATAAAGCAGTTGATCTGATATGTACAGATATCCACACATCTTATATGTACATCTTTTGAGCTCCATTGGCTGTTCTTGTTATTATTTTTTAAATTTATATTCTACTTATTTCGATGTATTTTACTTTTTCCTGAGTTTATTACTACATGTGTGACACACCAAAAGCAAATTCCTTGTATGTGTAACATACTCGGCAAAATAAAGTGTTTCTGATTCTCATTCTAATTAAACATAAAACTGTAGGGTTAAGCAGGTAATGAGCAGGAACATATTGTTGAGGTAATAAGTGAGAAATTAAACTACATAGTTATAACACAAGCAACATTCAATTATATGGTTATTAAGCATTACAGGAAGCTTAGAACAGTAAACAATGCATATAATATATAGTATATAGAAAAAATAAAGCATAACATCCTAGGTTTCAGCAATATAATATAAATATATAGCTCCTCAATTTAATGTTATATTTTGTAATATAAAATATAATAAAAGAAACATTTCCTTGGTTAGAAGTATAATACATGCTGCTGTAGAATACTACAATGTGTGTAGCAATAGTGAAAAAGCACATGTAATACATATATACACACATACATACATGTGTATATATATGTATGCATATATAAATATATGTACATATACATATATATATATAAAATATGTATATGTGTATGTGTATATACATACATACATATATACGTATGCCTCATTGTAAGTACTAGTGTAGTGTGCATGTACATGGATGCACATAAAAGCATCTATTCAACTATTTTTTTCCTATCAGCCTGTTTGCTAAACTGTTCACTGCAACTATTCATCCCTTTTTGAAAAATGCTGTATTTTTGTTTTGCAGTGTTGTGGGGAATGAAGGCTGCGATGGCGTCGTATCTGTCCTTTTTCTTGTTGCTGTGTGTGGACGTGTGTGTGGTGAAGACGCTCGGTGTGGGGCAGCTCTCCTCGCTGCTGGTCCCGGAGGCGTTTATCACACTCTGGGCTGTGGGGCTGCTGAGGGTCTGCTTGCTTCTCCTCACAGTCTTCTCTTACCCTGGAAGCCCAGTCTGGCTCAAAAGCTTTGAGGGAGTCCAGACTGTAACTGTTCACGGTTTATTGTATCCTGCCTACATTACGTTTCTCTGGGCGTGTGGCTGGTCAACGGTGGAGCTTCTGTGGGGATGGCACACCTGGGAAGCGGTAAGAAACTAGAGAGTGTATTGAAATGACTTTGGATGTAACGTTATAGCTCTAAAAAAAACAATGGAAATAATCTACAGAACTATGCCAGATTCAAGCCCTTCATTGATTTAATTTTTTTGGTCAAAACAGCCTTTAAGTACAGGTATCCCCTTCCGTAAAGGGAAAAACACAGAAATTTCCAAAACTGGAATTCTAAACATTATTAAATGTTATAGAGAAAGTGATACTCATGAAACCCACCTGCAAGATCTGGTGGACCACCACAACTAAGGTGCTATGGGTCAAATCTGTCATTAATGTGAACAAACCGGCATGCCGAAATAACCCGCTTGCGCACATCCTACTCAGCAACGTCATAGGAATGAATCATGTGTATCGTGAACAGCAAACTATCTAACGAGCAGAACGAGCCTTCATCGTGAAGATCTCTCAGCTGCTCATTAGCGATATGAAGGCCATTTGCAGGCTTTGTCGTGTGCTTGCTGCTGCTGCCATGGTAACGCTGAATGATGGTGCATGCGTAGGAAAAAAGCAGATGAATTCCAATCTGAGCGTTCACATTAAGGTCACATGGCCACCAATCGGATATGTATTCGATTTAGGACGACGTATGAAAGTGGCTCAGGTTTTTGAATTTGAATTTAAAAAGATGTTTTGCGCGTCCCCACAGCCCTGAAAACATCAGATCTGAGTCACATTAGGGCAAAAAAATCAGATTTGTTCCACTTCAACCTGGTAATGTAGACACAGCCTTAGATTGTAAGAAGCAGAATGTGCAAAACCAACTTCTAAGACTAAACTTTGAAGGTTTGGAAAAATATCCCTGCAGATAACTTTGAAAATCTGATCTCCTGAAAAGAATTGAACCTTTAATAAAGGCAAAGGTCGGCACAGTAAGTATTGTAAATCAAGGTGCGAAATACAGGGGATTCTTAGAAGGGGGGTTGGAACCCCCTGATTAACCCTTATGGATCCTCTGTATGTCTCTGAATCAAAAGTCTGGGGGTCTCTGAAAATAAACTTAGTATAATTTTGTGCTGTCATTGTTTAGCTGCTTCTTCCATCAACCAGGAGCTTCGGTCTTTGGTATTGTTAACTAACTAGAGAAACAGCACTGCTCTGTTGCAAATTGGTTCACCCAGTTGGTCCTTCATAGCTTAGCAACTGTAACTATGCCCAAGATTCCTCTGAAATACTTGAAAAACAGCAGCATATCTATAAATCTGAAAACTTGCCCAGTTTTCCCACGGGTTTGGTGGAAAGAGTGAACTGTTACTCGTTTTTTAAGTTGAAGACAGAAGAGGAGAAGAGCAAATTACCAAACTAGAAAAGATCATTCCCAGAAGAGGAACTGTTAAACCAAACATTTTGTTGACATTGAAGGAAGCATCAGTGCTGCTATAGTGAGGGAGTTAGCAGCCAGCCAACGCTGGAGTAGCCAGCCAACAGGGGACCCATGTAAACCACGGAGTATTTTTCACACTGCTGTAAATTTTGATTTTATATTTAGTTGTTGAGGCTTCTGTGTAATTTCCTCCATTTTCCCTGACTAAAAAATGAATAGATTGTACTTATTGGCCATTTTGACGTAAATGAAGTGTTGTCTGTGGTGCGTGAAGTCATAATATACTAATTTGTATAGTAGGCTGTAGTATGTGTCATTCTGAAACACATTGTGCTCACAAAATGTTGAACACCCTTTCAGCTGCTGCAGGGCTATGCTGTCCTGGCTCTGTCTCTTCTGCTGTGGAAACGCTACGTCCCATCCATTTTGTCAAAGGCTAAGGTGAAAGCCCCCGAGAAAGGCCAGACATCCCTGCAGAGGCTGCTTGGATACCTAAAGCCGTACCGCAACCGCTTCACTGCGGTCATCTCCTTGGTGATCCTGTCCTCCCTCGGTAACAGACCTAACCTTTTGTTTTTATTGTGATTTCAGTTGTTATTATCCCCTCCATGGTTAATGAACTATAAACGTTCCTAATATACAAAAGCATATCCAGCAGTAAAAGTAAAAGAACGTAACAGTATAATGTGCCACTTTCACTTTCACTTGAGGTGAAAACACACGTCTCACTACTGTTGTTGATTCTAATTACACTCCATGTCGGAATTTCCCAAACGTTTTTTGTGCCAGTTTTATTGTTTCACTTTTTATTTCAAATAAGTTTTAGTATCGTTAATGTTTGAACATAATTTCTTTTATAATGATTTGAAGTTTCTGCTGTTGGGAGAATTTTTAAAGCCCCGTCAACATCTTATGATTATGTTTATATATATTATTCTATGCATCGTAAGATGAAAGCCTGAGATTTTGAGTATAAACTGCAAAATGTAATTAGATCTCTAAATGACTGTCAGACATCTTGTTCTCCATTTTACTCTTATTCATTCAGCAATCAGACAGTGGCTGAGAAAAGAGTGGTTTAATTTCCTGCTGGGGAAGCCTCAAATGTGTAGGGCCGGACTACACCAATTGGCTGTGTTGCTCACCACTGCCAGTGGTTGTTTATGTTGCCTGAGAGAAGCAGCTGCCGATCATTATGCGTTCTGACACATCCACACAGCTCTGAGTAGGAAGCATAGGAAGCATATAATGCATTAAATTATATGAATTTCTGTATGTGTTTCTTGAATAGAACGCTGCAAAAATGCCTTTCTGCAGCATATCTTTACTTTTAAAACAAAAAGGCAAACAATTAAAATCATGTTAACAATAGTTGATAGATCGATTGATCACGTTATTAATTCCAGAGGGAAAGTTGTCAATTACAGCAGCACAAAGTACAATAAAGAGCAAAACAAGAGCAAAAGTATTGCCGTACGCTATTATACACATGCATAGATAGAAGAAGTAAAGATGTATAATAAAATATACTAATACAACCAGAAAATATGATGTGCAGTGTGAGAATAAGTAAAATCGCATAAATATTACGCAGGTGACAATGCAGTGGAGTGACTAAACACTGTAAATGACAACATAATTTTAATAGTTGTGCAATATGTCTGGGAGTATAAACAAGTGACAGAGCAATATGCAGTATTTATGGACGTATAAACAAAGTGACAGTGCAGTTTGCAATATCTATATGTAACTATTTAATCAGTCTACATACAGAGAGATGTGATATCAGTCCTTTTAGCCAAGGGATAGATCCATGCACACGCCATTACTCCTCTGTAGCAGATTTAAATGAATTTAAGGGCCCATCACTAAACTCACAGAATGGATCACTGGCAAACTTCTCGATTCGACTGGATTAAACCTGTATAAACGTGTGTGTTGTGTCTTATTAAGCTTATTAAATTGTAATTATGATTTGTGTTAAATTTAATGTTTGTTGTTGATCCTCAGGAGAGATGGCGATCCCTCATTACACAGGTAAAATGACTGACTGGATCATGAAAGAGGACGAACCTGAGGCTTTCAGTAACGCCATCAAGGTCATGTCTGTCATGACAATCATGAGGTAAAACACAACTCTGTGGGCCACAAAGTGTTACAGATGTTACAGCTACATCTGCATTACAACCAAAGCACAACCTTTCTCATAAACTGCTGCATTTGTCTGAGGAGCATTACTGTATTATTATTATTATAACAAGCGATACAGTACCTTAAATGCTAACGTACCACTGTGTCCACCTGTTTTCTCTTGCAGTGCTGTGCTTGAGTTTGTGTGTGACCTCATCTATAACATCACCATGAGCCTCATCCACACCTCCATCCAGAGTCAGGTCTTCCAGTGCGTGCTCAAACAGGAAATCGCCTTCTTTGATAAGATTTCAACAGGTAACTATCCTATACATACTTAGGTCTACAAAGTCCTGCAGAAAATGATGCTACTTACGATTGTCCAAAAATCACTATATGTTTCCATCTCATTCAATTTTTAGAACGGTTGCTAAATGTTATATAACAGAACAAAGCCTCATAATCATTTTAGCAAAAATACCAAAATAAATAAGTAAATTTGATCGTTATTGGTTTATCAGTTTAGTTTATCAGAGACATTGTTGGTCTACCTCTTATTTATCAGCTAATAAAACTATTATGCGTTCTTTAGTTCCTCCCTTTGCCACTATGATCAATCTGTGCAACAAGCTGTTATGTCTTTCATGGTGCAGTAAAATAATAAAAGCCATATCAGCCACATCCTTCTTGCCATGTACTGCTGTCTGTCAGAGTGACCGCGCAGATCATATAACCAAAATAGGACATTGTAAAGTGTTTTTTTTAAAGATGTATCAGTAATAAAACTGTGTGTCGCATATAGGACTGAAATACGAAGCAAGGTTAGGCCTTTTTAGCAGAATGGGCAGTTAACCAGTATCTATATTTTTGAGTTTGACTGGCTCAAAGAAAAATGATAACTTTGCTGTGGTTATTACTCATCCATTTCTTCTTCTACTGCCTCTTCCTGCATTTCCAGCATTAATGATTTCAGTGTTTTCAGTCGGTAAAAATGTAGAAATTTCGGTAGAAGTAGTTTCGGATAGTGGATTGGCACACAAAATGAAAAAAAAGATTAACTATCAACTTAATTTTTGTTATGGATAATTCTAAGTGGTTCCAGTCTTAAGTGCCCACAAGAAATATATCGGTATCACTTTATTTTGAGGTGTTCCTTGGCAGGTGATTAATAAACTCCTCTTAAGAGTATATATTTATTAGTCGTCTTGGGTTCTGCGTAGGTGAGATTGTGTCTCGGATCACCACGGACACCAACACCATGAGCGAAAGCCTGAGTGAGGAACTGAGTCTGCTGATGTGGTACTCCTTCCGCATGCTCTTCCTGCTAAGCTCCATGCTGTATCTCTCTGCCCGGCTGACCATCTTCACCATCCTCGGCCTTCCTGTTATTTGGATCATCCCAGAGTTTACTGGAAGGTTCTACCAGGTTGGTTAAAAAAGATTGGTATCTGTACTTTGTCCCCAGTTTACCACAACCCAAATGTCGATCAGCCAAATTTAGCCTTTTCGGCTTAGCGCTGGAGCTACGAGGATAATGTTGCTAACAAACTGTAGAAGTTCAGAGTCACCCAAATCAATTTTTTTAAATACATCCCCAAAACTTCTCTCAACCCACTCAAACTACCTCCAGCTCTTCAGACTAGTCGATGTGGTTTAGGACACAGTGTGACTTACTGTGAACTATACAACAAACAAAACTTAACTGGTTTGGGTGACTATTGAGTTTTAGTGTTTGTTAGCGATGTTAGAATTGCTGCTCCAGTTCTAAAGAACTAAACAAGTATTTTATGACGATATATACAATGAATACCAAGTTCACATGCAGAAAACAACTCAGTTTCGCTTAATGCATCCAATGTCTGGGTGGGAGTATTCATGTTTTAAGTACATAACCTGGAGATTAGCTAAAAATATTGCTGCATTGTGGTGATGTAACTGCATCAAATTTTGTAATGTAAAATTGATTGTAAGCTATTATAACAGTGTCCACTAGTTATGTTTATTCAGTATATTTGAAAAAATATTTTTAATGCATGTGTTTAACAAAAATTAATTTCCTTCCAAATTAATGTGTTGTTTAAAAGATGCAAAAACATTTTATGATATTTGTTGTTTTGTTTAACTGCAGTCTTTTTAACTGCACCTTAGATACTGCTGATGTGTTTTGGCAAAAAATTTAATGTTATTTACATTTTTTATAATTAGCCCAGACGTAGTTGTTCAGCTGAGACATCAGCCAAGTTTGGAGAGCAAATTTTGCTTCTTTAGTTTAGAACTGAAGCTACAAATCTAATGTTGCTAACAAACACTAGAACTCAATAGTCACCCAAATGGTTTCTGTAAACATAAACCCAAATTGCAGTGAATCATGGTGAAATCTCAGATTTCATGATGCACTGATTCATTTTTCGTAAAGAATCAGATCTTTAGCAGGTCAGAGGCTTCAGTGACAACCTTTAATGTATCTTTCCTAGACACATTCTGTAAAAGTGCAAGAATCTCTGGCCAAGGCGAATAATGTTGCCATGGAGACGTTTTCGTCCATGAAGACTGTGAGGAGCTTCGCCAACGAGGATGGAGAGACGGAGAGGTACAGGAAGTGCCTGGAGGACACCTACTCACTCAACAAAGTTGAAGCTGCTGCTTACGCTGCCTCGACCTGGACCAACAGCGTAAGACTCAGATCTTAAATCTACTCTTCAGACATTTACATGTGAAAAATCTAAAACAAAATAACGCAAATTACAGTTTATTGATTTTCTAAGTGATTATATGTTAAATGTCATGCACAGAGAATAAACAAGCATTTTACTGCAAATTTTAGTGCACAATTTCTTTTTTTTTTTTTGATGAGTTAAAATATATTGGAAAAAAAATAAAACATAGAATATTTGAGCTGCACGATAAATTGTATTTTTTAATTTCTGTGATGAACACATTGTTAGAGCGACAATAGACCACTGTAGTCGTACGTCATTCTGTAGACCTCGTTATGCCAATATTAGGAACTCCGGGTCTAAGCTCCGTTGCTCTATGGCCAGAATAAATAGGGTTTTCGAAAAATCGCCTCTATCGCACGCTGTGTTAAATAAAAGTGTTCAGAACCCGATACGTTTTGTCCTGTGAACATTCTTTTATATATATATATATATATATATATATATATATATATATGTATATATATATATATATATATATATATATATATATATACACGTGTGTGTGTGTGTACAGTTCTGTGTCACTGGTTAAATGACAGGTTATGTGTGAGTATGTGTGTGTTTGTGTTTATTGTCTGCTGCTACCTTTCATTTATCGCTGTGCACTTTAGATGTTAGTGTATTTCTTTCTTTAAACATGCTTCTGAAAATCACTCTTTTTGATCAGATGTCTACTCTGGCTTTGAAAGTCTGCATCCTGTACTATGGGGGGCAGCTGGTGGCAGGAAATGATGTCAGCAGCGGCGATCTGGTGTCTTTCGTTCTTTACGAACTTCAGTTCACTTCTGCCATGGAGGTAAAGTTGAAAACTGTTCTAGTTTCTAATAAAATGATTTAATGTTAAATTAATATCCAGAATGAAGTTCTTATAAAATTAATTCCTAGAATGAAGTTGATAAAATGAATATCTAGAATAAAGTTCTAAAAAAATAAATAGCAGGACGTGTGTTACTGAATCAGTGTGCAAAAATTTACATGCAAAATGAAATTCTAATAAGATAAATATCTAGAATAAAGCTATTTAGAATGCTTTGTTTTTGAAAAGTGGTGATCAGGCAGAAAACTTAATGAAGAAATATAAATAGATAATATGGTATAGTTATTATGTAGTCATTTTTGTTGTTCTGTTGTTATTCTAAAACTATTGATTGTTCCCCCAAAATCAAAAAGCACTATGGTGTAGAGCTGAGCAATATGACAACATTTATTGTTCATTTATTCTTATCATGATAAATTACATCATAATGTGACATGGTATGCTTTTTGAGTGCGTCGCGGACATTGTCAGCACTTAAAACCTTTCCAAACTTGGTGCAAGAAGAGCAGAATTAGTCCTGTTTAATTGGATTTAGTGCAGCACAGAGTGTGAAATGCTGAATAGAAGTCAATGGATTCATAGTTTTTCATAGCATTATTTAAATGCGGCTATTTGTCTCTTCCAGCTTATCAGACTTTTGAATGGTAGTGTATAGATTCTAACTGAGTTGCTTCTTTGAACATTCCTGTTGCTTTTGCAGGCTCTGATGTCATACTACCCTCGCGTGAAGAAGGCTATTGGAGCCTCACAGAAGATTTTCGAGTATGTGGACCGGAAGCCGGATATTCCTCCTGAAGGATCTTTAGCTCCTGAGAAACTTCAGGGTCATGTTCGCTTCAACAACATCACCTTCGCCTATCCCACAAGGCCTGAACAGAATGTTCTCAAGGTGGGGCAGAAAAACAAGCACAAACAGCTATTGAGCAGTGGACCTGAGACTGTGGATTATTTCTGTAATCAGTTAACCTACAGGCTGTTCCTGTTTTGGTGTCTGCGTTTACATGCAAAGATTTTTGCCAATCCAAGTGAATACATTCTGATTATAGATTAAGACTGAAGTGTTTATATGTTCACTCTGCTCAACAGTCTGATGGAAAATCTCTGTTTACATGCACACTACAAGTAATTCGATCCAAAATTACACGCATGCGTAGGGAACCACTTAGTGTAGATGTTACAATGACAGCAGTCAGAGTGAGACGAGCAGCAGTGAGCAGTGCTTGTGTTTTAATAACTTTAAGGGATGTCAGGATCTCAGGAAAACGTACTTCACTTGTACTTATTAAAGAAGGGTGAGAGGAAGTCGTCGTGTTCTGAGACACATAAGATGGGCGCCCGTCCCACCGCCGTCTTTTAAAGATCAAAGCATGAACGTTGTCCCCTCTGCAGACCAGTTTCTGTTCCTGCCATGTTGAACGTTATAAACTTTCGCTATGTTGCATTCGCGCAGAACGTACTTACACTTTCCGATTGGGAATATAATCAGATACAGGCGTTTACATGGTCATTATTCTTCTATTTAACTGACTATTTACAGAATTACTCACCTTGTTCAGTTGAATGGAATTGTATTGCCAATGGTCTCAGTCTGGTCTAGTCCAATTGAGGTGTTTACATGAATGTATTCTTTTCCGATTGAGCTATTAGTCGAATTATTAACGCATTATGTATGTAAATGTAGCTACTGAAATATAAATTTAAAGCTTCACCTTATTCACATTTACATTTTCTTGAAAAATGTAGGTTAATTTGCGCATCCTTAAGAATATAATAGCGGTGTTTGATTTGCAGATAAACACCATAATACATGGATGAATTTAATGAGACAAATAAATGTGAAATAGCAGTTGCAGCTGGTAAAATGAAGATGTTGTGATGGTGTTATCCACTATGCTGTCCAGCTGCTACAGTGTATTGAAATCTGTTGCAATGACAGAGACCAATTTAGTAAATGACGCACTGTTTAAAATTAAAACTGTATATTTTTTCATGATTGAGGTTGTCGACTGTGACTAATCGCTGCAGTGCTACTGAGCAGAACATTCCCTTTTCAGCTGAGGTTGAATATCTGATTATATGGGTTTGATGTGTGGCTGTGTGCAGGGTGTTTCTTTGGAGCTGAAGCCAGGGAAGATCACTGTCCTTGTAGGTCCAGCAGATGGAGGCAAGAGTACTATCGTCCGTCTGCTGGAGAGGTTTTACCAGCCCCAGAGTGGTGAGATCTTACTGGACGGAGAGCCACTGCTGAGCTACAAGGACCAGTACCTGCATGAGAAGGTAATTACATCAGTGGCTGCACACAGACGTAATTTTTATTTCTGATTTATGTGTTTTTGTATCTGATACATGTCTGATCTTTGGATTAGATTATATTAATTTTTTCTGTGATGATATGAGTGACCACAGTTATTACAGTATGATGTTATTGCTAAATTGCTAAAACACAGGGAAAATGTTTAAAAAGCGTTAATGTATATTCTAAAGTTATTATATTATATTTTAATCTCTCACAGTACATTACCCTAACCCTAACCCTACAACTCCAAAAAAGTACACAAAAGATGATGTGAAGTGCTTCCTTTAAAATTAGTTTTGAAAAAAATACTAGATATTTTAGAATATACTCAAGGATTCAGTGGTATCGTACATCTCTACCACACACTACACTACAGTTTAAATCATGGCCAGCACCGCTAATGTACATCATTAAACTCGGTAATCATCTCATCCTTACTCTTATCTAATTTTTAAAATGTCTGCATAATTAAATCTGATTCAGAGTCATTCAGAGTAGTTTGATGTGAAATTGTACAGAAGTTGTACAAAAACTTGTGTACAGCACAAATATATATTTTATTTACTACTGAAAATGACCCATGAACCTACATGTGTCTTCTAAGCTTTTATATGTAATATTAAAGATGATAAAATAGTGGTGAATCTGAAAAAAATACATTTCCTTTAGGGACTATTTTGCCTCACAATGCCCTGCATATGCTTTATGCCAAAACCTTCTCAAAACTATCCTTGAACAATGTTTCAGGCATCAGGCAGTGTATTCATAACCATTTCATGTAGTGACTTTCTATAAGGGAACTTTTAGAGGTGGACGTCTGGTTCCTGTCCCTACCACTGTGAGCAATTCTGACTCTGTATGTTTATCTACAACAGAGTGTTTCATACCAAATCACTCTGAATTACTTTGTTTGCATCTAAAGCATTTAAATCTGTGGAAGTTTTGTGAAATGGTGGATTTCCCCTTTAACCTCTTAAATGGCCTGGGCCCACTGGTGGATCCAAAGTTTTGTTACACACTTCTATAACTTAAGAATAGCTGAACCAGTCTGTAATAAGCCTGGGATTGTAAGAGGTTAATTATCATATGATGATAGAATAATTCAAATAGAATAATATAAGTTAATATTGTAAGTTAGTTTAGGGTGCCTCTCAACATTAACAACCTTTTTGGCTAACTCTGCTTATTTACAATGCAATTTATATTTTTTATTAGTGGCCACTGTGATTTGTGACTTTGAAAAATTGGTGGAATTCCCCTTGTATTATCCATCTTACCTTGTTGAGGTTATCTTGCTAAGAGATCTTGTTTTATGAAATGATCCCTAATTGGCTTTTTAAAAAATAATATAAAAAGCAACAAAAACAACAGGTCTGTTTTGAGCGTTACAGATAGGTGTTAACAATTACAGGCCATAGATACATTTCATGTAACGATTGAGTGTATTTCAGTATACAGTTTATAGAGTTTATTATCAAAACCTGAAGGATTTTCCCAAACAGTACCACCTTTACTACTGGCCCTTGTTGTACTCAGCTTGTTGTTTCACGTCCTGTTCAGATTAGCGTGGTGTCCCAGGAACCAGTGCTGTTCGCCCGCTCCATCAAGGAGAACATCAAATATGGCAGAGTGGCCGCCTCCAATGAAGACATGCAGAAAGCTGCCAAACTGGCCAGTGCACACGAATTCATCAGCAGCTTTCCAGAAGGCTATGACACCGGTGAGTTAAAGAGAACAAGAAATTTACCACTATTTAAAGCCAAAAATGACACTTACACAATTTATCTTTTACCTCATGATAGATGATCAGTATCCAAGGTTTTCTTCTTTAGTTTTACGCTAAAATTAAAACTTCTTTAGTTTTATTTCACCGTCTTTGTTCATTAGCGCGACACTATACACTCTATCTACATCACTTTGTATCAGCGAGTATCAGAATGTTAGTATCGGTAACAGTATTGGTATCGATGCAACTCTAGTTTTAACTGTGCAGTTATTTTAATCATTCTACTGGTGTGTGTGTGTGTGTGTGTGTGTGTGTGTTGAAGATGCTGGAGAAAAGGGAGGCAAAGTGTCTGGAGGTCAGAAACAGCGGATAGCCATAGCAAGAGCTTTGATTCGACAGCCGCAGATCCTCGTGCTGGACGATGCCACCAGTGACCTGGATGACCACAATGTACATTTGGTGAGAAACTCTACCGTGTCATATCAGATCATGCGCGCAACAGCAGATCTAAGGGCTCATTATCTTATCGTGCTTGTTATATTTATATTGGAGTTGAAGTTGACTGGCGTCACTGACAGCTGCAGTGTCTACAGGCGATCAGCCAAGCAGCACAACACCTTCACAGAATAGGTTTTTAGAGAAATTGAAACTGAAAATGGTAGTGTGAACAACACTGCACACATCATAACTTGGTAAGTGAAATCATCTAGTGAGTATATCTAATATAAAGAAACCTTCAGGGCAACTTTGGAGCCCTGTGTGTCAAAGAGCCTTTAGCTCGTATAAGAAAAACTGACAAGCACTTGCAGCGGCTTGCTTAATAGCGTACAGGTAGGCCCAGCTTGATCACAGGCCGGTCCAGTCAAATTGATTTGAATAGCCCCGTATGGATCTGATGAAACTCAGCAGTGTTAAGATTAGGATTAGGGTTAGGACCAGGGCTAAATTTAGGACCAAGGTTAAGATGATGTTTAGATGTTTGGTTAATGTTAGGATAGGATGAGGGTTAGGGTATTAACACAAAATAATAATAATAATAATAATAATAATAATAATAAGTCCTGTCATGTGGTAGGCAGACATTTTGAAGAAAATAATAGGTAGGAGAGTGAAAAGGAAAAAAATCCATGAGGTCCACGTTTTCTGAATTTGTCTGAAATCTGAAAAAAATGTTTTCACACGTTTTGTTCACATAGAAATACTAACTTTTAATGAAACGTAAAAATATTACATGTAAAAAAATTCAAATGGTTTAGATGTTCATCCAAGGCATCGGATAATTTCATTGTAGACCAACCAGAACGAGTTCAGTGGCTTTTTTCTTTATCATATTAAAATTAGTTGTTGGACATGAATGGGTTAATTATTTACACCCTGTCTGAGTTATTATGTAATTTAATTTACTTTAGGCTTCTAAAGCTTAATGTTCATTTTTTTCATCTTGGTCTTATGTATATGGGCTGAGCAGTTTGAAAGTAATCAGCTGAATGAATGTTTTCATTGGGGCTTTAGTGCAGTAGAGACTCAACAACACAGGTCAATTTGCTTTGACTACTCAGTTAACTGACGATAACAGCCTTACCCTTCAGACTAAACGACACCACAGTGACTTGTATATGTTCGTGTTCCAGGTTCACCAGGCTGTGCTGAACTCAAACTCGGACCGCACGGTTCTCCTCATCACCCACCGGATGAGCGGAGTGGAGCTGGCTCATAATGTGGTCTTCCTGCGGGCTGGCGAGGTGTTGGAGCAGGGCAGCCATGCTGAGCTTCTGAAGAGGAACGGACCCTATGCCGAATTCGTACAGCAGCAGAGAACCAGCTTCTATCGCAAAACGGATGAAACAACGGACAGCAACTCGTCTTCCTGAAAGGCCTGATGCATGTTTAACAAACCAAACAACCTGACAATAAGCAGAGTCTGTAGGTCGTATTAGAAATGCACTATACACTGAAATGTAGTACAAATGTGTCAGAAAAAAGTAGTTATTTGGATTTGTTTGATTTAAATGTGTGTATCAGTTGCACATGAATAAAATACATTACATGAGCAATTACTGCCAAAAGGAAGTAAACTTAAAGACAATTTTGAGGCATATGATTTAGGTGCGACTGATGTTTGAATCAGGTCAGTTCAAAGCACTATGTACTGCATAACAGTGTGCTATAGACATGCATATCTAAGTCTATGTCTAATCCCAGAAACATACTTCATACAAGTATGTAAATGCATGCGCTTCAAGCTACACAGTTAGTTTCACGCCTTAGTACTCTATAATCAATAGAATGCTCAAGCTGCATTCTGAGCATGACAGCAAGGGGGCGCTATATTGGCAGCCAAGCCTGGCTGAGCAGTCCTGTTCTGGCAGCTTGCTTTCTCCTGGTCAGTGCTCCTGGCGGACCAGCAGTTTGACAAGTTTCTCGCAGAACCGGTTTATTTGTATAAAATATAATACTCTGTCTCCTCTTCATTCCAGTAACAAGTAAAGCAGAACGCACTCGTCTACTATCCACATGTTTAGTTGTTGTGGCTTTTGGAGAAACAGAAGATCCTGTTTATAGATGTTCTGGACTGAGCTTTCCAAAAGCATCTTAGCACAAAGACAATTCCTAAATGGTAGAGCGAGCATCGTAGTGAACACTGTCTCTAACAAGATGATCTTAACGCTAAGATGCTTTTGGGAAACTGGGCCCAAATTTGTCCTCTCTCTCTCATCCCCTTGAGTACTGAGTGTTTTAACTATCACAGTAATGTAGAAACTCACATTGAGCTTGTGCATTTGCAGTGTGTTAGCTTGGTGTGGTCATTTGCGTTCGCATATTTGCATTGAGTATGTTTCTGGCCTAAGAATATTCCAAACAAGCTCATCCAAATATTCTCCCACTGAAGCTGTATTTATAGGAATGGTTTTGGTGATATATCCAATTTACACACTTATCCACTTAGTCTAGATGTACTTGATCAGCCAAAGACATGTTTGATGTCCAAATTTCTCAGTTTAGCCCTGGAGCTACAAGGCTAATGTTGCTCACAAACACTGGAAGTCAATAGTCACCCAAATCTTTTCTGTAAATATATCCGCAAAACTCCTCTCACCCCGCTCAAACTGCATACAGAACTTCATTAGGAGCACTCAGACTTGTCGAGGTGGTTTAGAGCACAGTTTGACTTACTGTGAAATACAAAAATGTAGCCAAATGCTGCAGGCAGCCCCTTTAGATAGCAAGTGTGGTTGGTATAGTGTAGTGGGTAACACCTCTGCCTTCTACACTGTAGACTGGGGTTCAAACCCCACCTTGGTAAACACCCTACGCTATACCAGTAAGAGTCCTTGGGCAAGACTCCTAACAGCACCTTCGCCTACCTGTGTAAAAATGATCAAACTGTAAGTCGCTCTGGATAAGAGCGTCTGCCAAATGCCGTAAATGTAAATGTAAGTGACTCCCCTTCGTGTGCATGCACCTCACGCAGGCATATGGATGCTAGGTCACATTTATGATTTCTGTTGTTTCTGTCTTTTAAAATATATCCTCAGTTTAAAAAAAAAACGGTTATTAAAAAATAACCGGTGTGTGCATGTGAAGTCGGAATTCGTCACAACACTTTTTTGGCTTTCAGGAGTAAATTATAAGCATATAGCAATATGTGTATGATCATAAGACACATTTTCTATTAATTTGAGGGGACAAAATATAAATAAATAAATAAAATAAAAATTTACATTTACTTCATGCGGTTACTGAATAATTTGCCTTTGATCGTGTAAATTCAGATGGAAAAACCAAAGTATACCCTGGAGAATAACAGGCTAAACCACATCAAGTCTGTGTGACCTTGATGATGTGGTTTGAGCAAGAGCAGTTAGTATTACAACACCTGAGGCACCAGAATGTAACTGCTGTGCTGTTTAAGGTCGAATGAGAAAATTTGAACAAGAAGCTGGCAAATATGAAGCCAACTTCAGCCTCGTTGTTCTCTGTGGCTAAAATCAGGCTGGTTTGTAACATTACTGTCCTGTCTTATATGTACAACTCAGAACATGTAAAAATTATTTTATGCACTGAAGTTGACTGCTCTGAATTCCCAAGCTAGCACCAATGCTAATGATGCACTGCATTCAGATAGAAAGATAATGGTTAGCGCAAGTAAAATAATGGCTAAATTAAATGTTTTAACATCTTTTCTACTCTTTTTCTGGAGAGAAGGTGGTGCATGAATCGAGTAGTCCCTCCCATCATTTATACCGAGATGTAATATCCCGTGCAAATCGCTTCCTGAGGTAAACTTTCATTACCCCACCTCCCCATGGACAGCTAATCCCATCCGGGTAGGGCTTTAGAGAGGTCATTTGACCAGTGTTAACTAAATATTTGTATTGTGCCTTGAAATGTGTTTTTTTCAGTGTGTTTGTTAGCAACATTAGCTTTGTAGCTTTACACTCAGAAAAAGAGGTACTCAACTGTTACTGGGGCAGTACCCCTCTTGTCACTGGGGTGGTACCCCAGTACCTTTGGCACATCTCAGTACCTTTAGTCAGGGAACATAATTGTACCATAATATTGAAATTATATTGTCGAAGTTGTATTGACTCCACACACCCCGTCTCGTCTCCAGGCTTTTTATTTTATTATTATTATTATTATAAAACATTAGGTTATGAAAAGATACCTGGGAAAAACGCATTTAAGGTACACAATCGGGCCTCAAAACCACTGTTTGTGGTTGTACCTTTAAGGTACATTTACATTGTTTGTGCCTTGATGAACGAAAAATCCACCTGCACAATATCCTTATTTCTAACAGTGTAATGCTAAACTAAAGAAGCAAAATTTGGACACCGAACATGTCCTGGCTGGTCTACTGCAGCAGGCATAAGTGGAAAATTGTATAAATGGGAATATATAGTCAGCCTCTTGTATAATATCTCCACCCACCTTTTGCATGCCATTGTCATTGTGAACAGTCACATTCATGTGTCTAAGGATAAGAGGCGCATTGTTCCATGCATGCAGCCTGTAAACTGCACATTTTTAAGCTTGTTGATATGTAACTTGCAGACAGAATGCGCACTGATGCTGCAAAGGGCCAAAACAACTGAATAAACTTTTTACTTTGCTGTTAGAAAGAGGTGATAAGCATGCTTTCAATGGGAGGAAATTTCAGAAACTGTGTTTGGAAATATCGCGAGTACTGTATGACCCCAGATACACAAACACAAAATTTTCATCAGTAAGTTGTTTGAATGATTGACGTTAAAGTGATTTTGACTTTACATTATTTGAGAAATTTGCTTGTTGCTGTTGTTTTTCACTTTATTTAACTTTCCTATGTCTGCATTTCTTTCTGGTTTTATGTTTTATGTCTTGAGATCATGTTGAATTCTAGGATTTTTAAATTAGGTGTAAATATCATAAACACTTATTTGAAGAGACAAAAACAGTAGAAGAGCTTAGCTGCAGCACAGAAGAGTAACCACTTACAAAAGGCCAGCCATGAGACCACAAGCATGCCTCTTATTATTAAACGTGTTTGCTATGCTCTAGATTTAAATCTCCAGCTCTTTTCTCTTGTAAAACACATTTAAATTTCCCATGAGCACTGTAGCACATCATATGTATCACAGTGGTTGCTGCTGGGAAACCTGTTAGAGGTCAGTCAGAAATGCTGGCCCTGCTGTGAATGCTTTACTTGCTCAGTCTGTAAGTTTCTCATAGATCATTTTTTTCTGTTAGGTTTTGCATAAGAATTATGGGTAATAGATTTAGTGACCAGCTTTAAAGGTACAATCAGTGCATTTTGCAGAAGAAAGTAAGAGAGATCTGTTGACCAGTGTTAACTTACTATGTATTTATATACCAACAAACTAGAGAACTGGAGATTTAAAAGGACTCGAAGAATAAGAGCTGAAGCTGTTTTATCTGAGAAAAGGCTTACTTTGCTTCCATAACACGAAAGATACAGGGACATGAAGTCCAAATCCAAAATGTTCTGATTGTAGTTTGATATTTTTGTGCTGTTTTGTCAATAAAAATTCTCAACCCTGAGCTAGTCTGTTGAAGCTCTTCTGTTATATTTCCACAAATGGCAGAAAACAGAAGTTTACTGCTTCCGGAAACTCCAGGGGGAGTTTACAGTGGATTTACGAAAACTGTTACCTTGCTCTGGATCTGCTGCGGTGTTTCTACATATGTTCTAGCAAAAAAGCCAATCAAATCCTCATTGCTAATGAAGTAATGTGTATTAATGAGCAAGTCTAATGAGTGAAGGCCTGTTAAGTGCCAAAATGAGCATGTTATGTCTACAATGACTAAAAATCTCAATCATAACACATCTTAGAGTTATAGAGCTGTCATATTGGTGCATTATGCTTGCAATCTATGTTAAACCACTGTAAAGAAACAAATTAAGTCATTTAAAAGAAAACAGTACTACTGATAACATGTCTGATAACATGTCCGACAACCTGTGCGCTGCAGGAGCCTGTCCCAAATGCGCATTTCTGAACGAGAAAAAAAAGGTTCTTTAGTAACGGAAATGGTTTTATTTAGAATCATGAATGATATATCGGACCATTTCATGCTTGAATAAGTTTTTTTGCAAAACGGTTTTCTTAAATGTTCGGACAATTTCTATATAGAACCATGTACAGCACATTCTCCATCAATCTGAAGAACCATTTTATGACGCAAAGAACTATTTAGGCTCTATATGTATTACGTTCTATGTAGGACCCATGGGTGCCTTTACTAAAGAACCCTTGAAGAACCATCTGTAGCCCCTTACCCTGCCCATATAGTCATTAAATCACTAAAGTGTGGACTTGGAGCAGGGCCATAGGGCTTAGGGTGCCTTTAAGCTACAGGGCCATACAAGCACCACCCACACTACCATGCCAGGATCACTGCTGTGTTGAATGGTCCACAACCCAGATAATAATAATATCTAGTAAACAGCAGCCTTGTGGTCAAACGATGTAATGACCCAGAGGGTGACTCACCATGCATATGCTACAGTCTGTCTGTATTAACTGTATAGTGGACCTACAAGGTAGGTGGACCTCAAAATGTGGTCAGTGAGTGGAAACATAAGGTAGGTCTAATAATGAGAGTTTAAAGCCATTCACAACGCAGCAAATGTCCTCACAATATCAAACACGAGCACTAGACAGCAGCACTGAGCTGAGAACCGGCATCTGTAATTGTACACAGTGAGGGTTGTGGGGGTGTCCGCACCTTGACCGGCAGGGAGTTTAGCCAATGAGAAGCAAAGGTGTTAGGTAGGGCTGCGCTGTGATTGGCCGAAGGTGCGCCGCTATTTAAAATGTGGAGGGTGGAAAGCGAAAGGCGCCATTTGCCGTAGCGGAGCGACGGAGTAAAAACAGACAAAACCTGCAAACCGCAGCGCGGATTAAAGACCGGCCCCGGCCTTATGGAGGCGGCGGGCAAACCGTCTGTGGACAGGTAACGTAAAATCGAGCTGTTTTTTTTACATGAACAGCAAGTAGTGCTGTTTATAAAGCCTGCAGTACTCGGCTTGTTTTTTAGACGTAGCATTAGCATCGTTAGCTAGCTCGCTTCGCCAGCCGGTTCGAGTCCGCTGCACCAACGGTAACTACAGACTCGGAGATAAAATGCTGTTGGGCATTAAAATGTTGTGGATTAATTAAAAACAGGCAAGGATGATTTTTATTTGGGTGTTGGGTAGAGTTTTTCTTTGAATTTTGTGTTTGTATGTTGCTCGTTGTCTACGAGATTTCGTTGTTATTAGAATTTTCCGTTCCACCTTAAATAGTGCAGCAGTTACATTTTGGCGCCTGCACGGGCGCCAGAATGAGACTGCTGCACCATTTAAGGTGGGACGGAAAATTCGACAAGAGACTAGCTTCAGTCTCTGCTCACGACAACAGACGGGCTTCATTCTGATTGTAACGTGAAGGAGACCCCATAAAGTGAGCAGTCAGTGATAGTAGGAGTTAGGGGCTTCTTAATAGGTTGAATCGTGAGGGTTATTTCCCATTAGGGAACCGTTTGGGTCTCAACAGTAAATCGGTAATCTGGCTGCTGCTGTTCTGCCGTGTTGTTTTTTTGCAGCTCTGTGTTGTAGCTAGGTGTAATCTGTGGATTCAGGCTGCAGTGTTGTAAACAGTCATTTCTTTTGGCGGGTAATGGCACCAGAAACCTCTCTAAAGGCCACCATAGAAAAGGGAATCTGTGCCTCCCAAGCTGCGTTAGCCAGCTAGCTAAATGTCTGCATTAAAGGGCTCCATTTAACGTCGCTGTACGGTGTTTGCTTTATTATCTAACGTTACAGCTTGGAGGTGGGCGGGATGGCAAAATGCAATATCACGATACTTCAGGAAGATTTTTGTAATAGACGATGAGTCACGGTGTTTATTTTTTCTGACATCTGATAAGTTAAAACAGACAAAGTAGTGCCACATATTTATAAGTAAAAAAAGAATCCAATTACTCATTCAGCATTTCTCACAGTGTGCTGCACTAAATCTCCTGAACAGGACTAATTATTCTGTCTTTTTAATCAAACATGCAGTTGGGAAATGATTTTTAGACCTGACAATATGCTCAGAAAAGCATAATGTGACATATTGTGGTGTCATCTGTCAAAATAATGATAAATATTGCCACATTTCCCAGCTGTAGTACGATATAAGACTGTATGCTTCCGCTTGTTATTACAAAACTTCCCATGTGTATAGAATGGTAAGACACTGATATTAGCTTTGGAAATAGTGTAGTTGTCAGGATGATGTCTGGTGATCTTTTCATCTCATGTGTTTAACTTGCATGTAAATAAGCTTTGAATTTGGGAGCTGGATGCAGTGCATGACTTGATTTTGTAAGAAAGTGTATTGTGTGAAACTGTTTCTTCCAGCAATGAGTGACAGGTTTATACACAGGGAATAGGTGGGGCAGCTCAAGCAGTGGTCATCTGCTGAACCTGATTTACTTAGAGGGTATGTGTTAGACTTTCTGATGAGGCCACCTCAGCTTATTTCCCTTGCAAAAGGTAATGGACCTCACTAAGGTCAGTTTCTCTGAGTTATTCAATCAGGTTTTGGCTTTTTAAATTAGAGATGGCATGAGAACACTTTCTTTTTGAATACTGTTATGGAAAGCTTGAGTATTGGCAGATACTGAGCATATATATGTATTTATATGTACTACTCTTTTCTTGCTTTTCATATATTCCCCAACGTTTGTGTGTTTTTATGAACCAAAACAGTCATATTACATTTTTACATGACCTCTCTTTATCTCTTATTACTACATAGACTGTTTTTGTTGCTGTGCATTTGAGTCTGATTAATGTAACAATTTCCTTTCTGATTGGCTATAGTATGGACTATATGGACTGGGAAGTGAATGGCAAAAAAAGCAAGAAAACTATTAAGCTTTTAAATGAGCTATTTTTTATTTGAAGCTCTTCACTTAAGATGAGCATTTATAAGTAGGTTATCATGCTCAAACTACTCAAAAACATGGCTACCCCACAGGAAGAGCTACACAGCTATATCAGCTCTCACCTCATACAGTGTGAGTGAGTGCAGTTTCAGGACAGATTCGTTACAGGATGAATTACATTCATTCTTTTTTTCCCTCCAACATCTGATCCATCATCTTCACCTGACATAAGCCTGATACCCATCAGTATTAATATGCTGTCGAAAATTTAAATTAGTTTTTTTCTAGAATCTCTCATATCTAGATTTTGTTTGGCTGTGTTTTCAAACTTAGTTACAATATTAAACCTTACTTTAAGATAACATATTGTCTGTGCTGGTTAGAACATCTCTGGCTTTGAGCCTTTTTTTATCTTGACTGATTTTTTTAGTTATCTGACAAATAGGCTTAATTTCTACCCAAATCTGGTTACTGTCAGTTTTAAATATTTGATCAAAGCTGCAAACTGTAATCTGATTGCATAGCATTCGGGGAGAAAAGACTTCTTGTACTGAAACTCAGTGCCTCATTTTGCAGTCTGCTATCCTGGGGCAATATGTGTAAAATATGTATGATCAGCTTGCCTGTCTGTATGTGTTTTTTAGGGAAAGAACCTTCTTGAGTTTTCCATTCATATGTTTTACCATTGGCTGCAGTTTGATTGCTGCTTTAGGCTCACTGTGTATCATTAGAGTCCTATTAAACACAGTCGTATGTCCCATCACTAAAGTGATCCTAGATCAGTTCTCCTAGCCTGCATTTACAGCACCTGAGAACTTATAATTTTTCGTTTTGGAACATCTTACTTTTTAGCTCTGGTTTTCTAAATGGGCTTTGAGTTAGAAGGCTGTTAAAGTCAGTGTTTTTCCTAGATTTTTTTTTTTCTTTAAGCAGGGTGGTAAAGTCTGCAAAGCTACCACAGTTGTATTGCTTACCTAATGTCATCAAATGCACATGCACTGAATTGTTTTTAAAAAGACAATTTAAACATGTATTTTTAGAAATTCAATCATGATTCTACAAATAAAATTCTAATGAAAGTTGTATCAGAAGAATTTATGTAGGAATGAATGTTTTAAAGTTCATTACTTGTCCAAAGAACAATTCTCATTTGTTTCTATAAAAAAATGTTCTGTAGATAGTAGTTCCCTAAACCATCATTGTATACTGTTTGGACTGTCAAGTCTACAAAGAAGCACAAATAGATCAGCTTTTGATTATTATTTCTTAAAGAATGCTGTAGTAAGTTAATTGCTAACGTCTGCAGACGTTCAGAAGTGTCCTCTCTCTGGTTTTACTCATCAATAAAACAACAAAAGATGAAACACCTTGATTGAGTTTGACATCTTTTCAACACTATATTTCAATAAATCAGCACCAAACTAATATTTTAGTTTGCACAAAAACTAAAGCTGTTTCTTCAAGGACCAATTTTGTAATTAAAGCCTACTGTGACTAACTTGGACACTAGAAGACTAGAGCTTGATGCTCACACCGTGGTGTATCACTTTGCTATATCACTGAATTGATCTGCCCCAGACCTGAGATCTGAATATAGTGCATCTTTACACTCACCGAGCACTTTATCAGGAGCGTCTGTACACCTTCTTATTCATGCAGTTATCTAATCAGCCAATCTTGTGGCAGCAGTGCAGTGCATAAAATCATTACCTGAAGCAAGCAGCTTCAGGTAAAGTTCACATTAACTGAATGGGGTGAAAAATTGATCTGACCGTGGCATTATTGTTAGTGTTAGACGGGCTGGTTGGAGTATTTCTGTATCTGCTGATCTTCTGGGATTTTCAAGCACAACAGCCTTTAGAGTTTACTCAAAATGGGAGCAGAAAAGAAAAACTTCCGGTAAGGGGGACTTCTGCTGATGGAAATTTGTTGTTGAATAGAGAAGTCAACAGAGAATGGCTAGACTGGTTTGAACTGACAGAGAGCCTGTGGTAACGCAAACCTCTTTGTTCAATTGTGGTGAGCAGAAAAGCATCGCAGAACGCGCATCATGTCAAACCTTGTGGCAGAACAGCAGAAGATAGTCAAGTTCCACAAGTTTGCCAAGAACAGAAAGCTGCAGTGGGCACAGGCTCACCAAAACTGGACAGTTGAAGACTGGAAAATATAACCTGGTCTGATGAGTCTTGATTTCTGCTGAAGCACACACACGGTCGATTCAGAATTTGGTGCCAACAGCCTGAATTTATGAACAACCAGCCTTGTGTGAACAGTCCGGGCTGGTGGAGATGGTGTAATGGTGTGGGAAATGTTTTCCTAGCACACTTTGGGCATGTTAATACAAATCAGTCAAATTTCAGTATTGTTGCTGACCATGAACATCCCTTTTATGGCCACAATTTACCATCTTCTAATAGGGAATTCCAGCATGATATTGCACCATGTTATCTACTCAAAGGTCAGAAATTGTTTATGACTGAAGCAGTCAGTATACTTCAAATGAAAACACCTCCTGACTGCGATTGGTCTTTTGTCATCTGACATGTTTTGCCTGCTTTAGGCATGAATGTAGCATTACTCCTCAGTTCCTGTGTGTTGATGTGAGCATCTTCTCTTCCCTCAGCAGGTCTCTGGGAGTGGGGCTGTCTTTGGTGGGCGGGATGGAGTCCAGCACGCCCAGTTCAGGAAAGCGCATCCGCAAGCCTTCGCTTCTCTTTGAGGGTTTCGAGGGTCCGGCTCTGCCACACGCCCCTGCACCGGGACCGGCACTTCCACAGCAACCTCCCGTCAAGGACCCCAGCCGGCAGGGCAGGATGACCAACCAGCTCCGTTACCTCCAGAAGGTCGTGGTGAAGGCCCTCTGGCGCCATCATTTTGCCTGGCCCTTCCATGAGCCTGTGGACGCAGCCCGACTCAACCTGCCAGTGAGTGAGCAGGGCTGTTTTTGCTAGTAGCTAAGGGGTTTCCAGTCTTTGGGGACCATTAGCCAGTCCATATTTTTGTTGTTTTCTACTTGCTAATACACATGAGCCGAGCAATCAGCATTTTACAGCACTTGATTGCCTGGCTGAGGTGTTTTGGAGATGGAACAGAATGAAAAAAAATAGACTGCCTGGGGGTCCCTGAGGACTGGGCCTATAGTTTACAGTTCTTTTTAAGTTTTGCACAGATCCTGTTGAGGGTGGCCCTGCTTTCTTTTGTAAAGCATTTGTGTATTTATTTAGACTGATGGGCTTATACAAGATGATTTTATATTCACCTCGGGAGCAGTGTCGGCACCTATGATGCAGTTAAAGTTAGACTTTGTTTCCTAGGACTACCATAAGATCATCAAACAGCCCATGGATATGGGCACCATCAAGAAACGACTGGAGAACAACTACTATCGCAACGCCAGCGAGTGCATTCAGGATTTTAACACAATGTTCACCAACTGCTACATCTACAACAAGGTGAGAACACACACTTAACCCCGACACTCAAGGTCTCCTGCACCAGAAACCATTAGGGTTGCTATGGAAACGCTCTCTAGTGATCTATTTATTACACTGATGCAAGCTAGCCATGTTGTTTACAGTATACATGACTTATTATTTAAGGAGCATTTTTCCATCTGTAGGTTTATAGCATCTTTTAGTCTTAGCATGCATAGAGCCGAATAGGTTTACGTTCATGTTTTGGGTTGGTGAATGTGAGGAACTGAAACAACGCTGTTTGTATTTCAGCCTACTGATGACATAGTGCTCATGGCCCAATCTCTGGAGAAAGTTTTTCTGCAGAAGGTTGCACAGATGCCCCCGCAGGAGATAGAGTTACCGCCTCCAGCCCCGAGAAGTAGAGGAGTTAAGGCTGGGAAAAGCCGGAGAGGCCGAGGTGAGTCAGGAGGGGCAAGAGAGAGTTCTTAAAGAAGTACTCCAGCATTTTAAAACCTAATCTCTTTCTGTCACATCTGATTATCAAGCATAATAATTTCATTGTGTACTTAGGAAAAAGCAGGAAACCAGTGTAACAACACTTTTATTTTCAGTATCTGTCACCAAAATTTTGGTGGATCCCTATTTACAATTAAAAAGCATTTTGTGTTGCTTTTTGAGGCCAACAATTTTTTTTTATTTTTTATTTTAAGTTTTGTCCTACTCTACCAAACAAACTAGGAAATAATGTTGAAGAGATTCTTAGGGGTTCTTGTTTTTCACAACATAGCCATAACAGGGCTCATGTTAAAAGCTGTGGCTGTGCTTGTGAGTGATGTGTTTTCTAAAATAGTTACTGTGTGTAAAAAATGAAGTTGGTGCCTGCCTGTGGTGGAAACTGACAACATAATCGACAAAACATTACATCCTTCTCAACTCTGTCCCTCCCTTTTTTAACCACACTTGTTTTCTTTTTTTTGAATAAAGAATAAAGAAGTGTATTTTAAGCTATTGCAGTAGTACTGGTAACGTAAATGTAACAGTTGGCCAGATCTGACAGAATCTGTTTTGATGCACTTAGGTCCGTATCTGACCAGGCAGGTGAAAAGTAGTTGTTTTGTTATTAATGGTGGGTAAAAACAAAAAAAAATCTCCAAATCAAGTGACGTTGCATGGCAAGTGCATTTTAGTGGCCAGAATTTAAAATATTGTGACCAGGGGCACCATGCAATATGTAATGACAGCTCCTGGTAACATCTCTGTGCGAATGGGAAGTAGTGTCAGCTCCTCTCTTTTAAATAAATATACTCTGCTGCTAATGTCCAAGATTTCTTCTCTCTCCCTCTTTTCCAGGAGGAAGCGTCACTGTAGCCCAGCAAGTCCAAGCTATCTCGCAGTCTGCCTACTCACCGTCCTCTCCAGACACTCCAGACTCCAGCTTTTCCGGGTCTCCTCATATGATGCTCAGCAAACCTGCCCCGCCTCCGACCCTCATGACTTTGCCTCCCACACAGCCCACTGCTAAGGTATTACATAGAGCTGAACCAAATACTGTGAATATATTTGTAGACACTTTTGAAACAGTATAGAAGAGGAGATGGTAACTTGATAACAATGAAATGCCAGGATATGATGTAAAACAGGGCTCGGTGTTGTGTGCATGATTTTATCACAAAATGGAGTTTATGCCATCGTCAAGCCCTTGTGTAATGTTATAAACATGCAGATCATCAATGTTACGCAAAAACCTTTTGTCTCCATTTTGTTGTGTTTTACTTTTGAGAATAATTTGAAAACTCCAGGGAACATTTGCATTGTGTTAAAATTTCACAGAAATTGCGCAAAATTACTTAGAAGAAAATCTTTATACATTAACTTCCATTACAAAGCTTTTCTTTTTTTCCCCTTTTTTTAAATAAAGTTTTTCCTTCTCCTCTAAAGTTACCATTTTGGATATGTAAGACATTTCCAATAGCAATTAAGTATTTTTTTTATCTATGGATTTTGAAAATTAAGTTAAAGTATAGAGAAATTAAGGCAGGTCTACTGTCACTTTTATGTGCTATGACCTCTTCCATTCTCTCTTTTTTTATTTAAGTATTATTCTACATTTTTCTTGGTTGTATGTACTAGAACAGTTAATTCTTTTGTTTACATGACTCTAACCAAACTAATATGTAAATGAGCGCTTTTCTAAATGGCTGAAGGGGTGGTTGCACAGTCTGTAAAGGTTTGGGCGCCCCTGGTCAAATAACCTGTTTTGCTAAATAAGTTAATACATCCTCTACAGAGAACACACTTCTGCAAATGTTAATGCACAATTACTGTTTTTTATACTGAATTTATATTTTGTGATCATTTTCAAATATGTTGAACTCAGCAAGTAAGTAGAAGCTGTGCACTAAACTTTGCAGAAAAAAAAGCAATTTTTAAGTTTGTTCCCTGCGGAGGATGTCAACTTATTTTCACTTGGAAAATCAACAAAATGTGTAATTTGAGAGAGGTTAATATGTGAACATGTTTAATTTTAAATTGGCAGCTTATTTTACATTAAAATGTGTAAGCTAAAGAGGTAACAGTACATGTTGACATTTGCCCCTTAATAAGAAAGACACATGAAGTCATATTTTTATTATGATAGATAACCTGTTGGGGCCAGTTGGTTCATTAGCATGACTCTCCTCTCATGCCTCACAGAAAAAAGGGGTGAAACGCAAAGCGGACACCACCACCCCCACCACCATGGGCTTTCCTATGGCATCTGTTGGGCGTGTCGGGGGCATGGGTAAAGGCCGTGGGGGCGCAGCCGGAGGTCTGCCCATATCCCTCTCGCCCATGCCCCTGGACTGCGTGCCCAGCCTGGTGCGGGGGGTAGGGACAAATGAGCCTGTTCACCTGCAGCCCGTCATGGGCCGAGCCCTGAACCGCCGGCCCATCAAACCTCCACGTAAGGACCTGCCGGATTCGGTGCGCCCCAGTCAGCCATCACGGCGAGGAAAACTGAGCCGGCAGCTGCGTTACTGCAGCGGCATCCTCAAAGAGCTACTGTCCAAGAAACATGCCGGCTACGCATGGCCCTTCTACAAACCTGTGGACGCATCAGTGCTTGGCCTGCATGACTACCACCACATCATCAAACACCCCATGGACCTCAGCACCATCAAGGTCAGTCCACGGTACTTGTTTTGGTGTGCATGTGGTTTCTTTAGATCTGTAATGTTGTCTCGAATCAGCCCTGATAAGTTGTCTGGGTTTAGAGTGTTCTAAAGCAGTGCGAGGTAGATCTCAAACCAGTTGTCTTGTGTGTTAAGCAGTTAAAGCTGTGCAGCAGCCTTTCCAATGGAGTGGCTTCACCTAACATGAACAGAGGCTTACCTACTATTAAGGGAGCCTTAGAAATATCCCTATTTCAGATCAGCCCTGTGTGAGACACCATGTGTAGATATTCCATCATGTCCTGTGGAAACAACTGTGTTTTTGTTGTTTTTCTTAGTATGGAAGCACCCCAGAAAGCATTTACTTGTTCACTGTGGACCACATCAAGACAATATTTGTTGTCTTTCTTCAAGTATATAACTTTAAGCATTAAAACGTTTAAAATGACAAAGAATTTATGTAATGATGTTGACTAGTTCATTAACCATAAACAGCCAGAAATATTACAGACATCCTGTGGTAAAATCCTCCACCTCACCGTAGACGTCTTCTCCTAAATAAATAGTACTAAAGTGTGTCTCTCTACCTCTTTTCTCGTTGCTCTGTCTCAGAGGAAGATCGATGAGCGGGAATACAGGGATGCACAGGAGTTCAGTGCTGATGTCCGACTCATGTTCTCCAACTGCTACAAGTACAACCCCCCAGAGCATGATGTGGTTGCCATGGCGCGCAAACTACAGGTACGCACAGGCACACAGCTGTAAACAGCAGGCATTGTTTCATGTGCCCTCATCTGGTGTAGAACTGTAAGTGCAGTTATGATATGTGTATGTAGTTATATATTTATAGTTGACTCATCATTTATTGATTCCTGTAATGATGTAATGCATTTATTCAGCAGATAATTTCAAGGATAGCTTATGAAAGACGTTTGTGTGTTAGAGTTGAAAATTGTGCAGCATAGCTGTCTTTTTTTTTATTTTTATTTATTTAGTCAAAAATTATTATTGTATGTATTATATAAAATTCCGTTTCAGGATGTGTTCGAGTTCCGTTTCGCTAAGATGCCGGATGAAGTTCTGGAAGATGAGGAAGAAGATTTGGTTCCTGCATCTTTAGGCCATAACATGGGCATTATGGGAATGCACCACTCCTCCTCATCTTCATCTTCCTCATCGTCCTCGTCATCATCCTCATCATCATCGCCTTCCTCTTCATCAGAGAGCGAACCAACCAGCGAGAGTGAGGCAAACAGCGAGAGCAGCCCGAGCTCGGACAGTGAAGAGGAGAGAGCCCAGCGCCTGGCCCAGTTGCAGGACCAGGTGTGCACTCAGGTAAGGCTCATGCACAGACATGCAGTTACAAGTGCTTCTATGTGGTGTATCCAATATAGGTGTAAATACTCTGAGAATAAAGCTGACATTCTGCTCATTGACCGTATATTCAAATCCAGTGTGCTGGAGTTCACACTATAGTATGTACAGGAAGGTAATTCATAAACCTACGCGCAGGTTGGAGGAAATTGGTACAGCAATTCATTTTGATTTTATAGCACAAAAAATAAAATCTTTAAAAAAGGACCAGTCTTTGTTATTGAAGCAAGAAGGTTATTCTCAGTCCAGCAATGACACTAAGGTATGAAACTCCAGCAACACTGCTGTGTCTGATCCACTCAGCACAACACACATTAACACACCACCACCATGTCTGTGTCACTGCAGTGCTGAGAATGACCCACCACCCAAATGGTACCTGCAGTGGTACTGACCATTGAAGATATAAAAAGTAAAAGAAGTATAAAAAGTATAAGAGAGAAACAGATGGGCTGCAATCTGTATGCGGGTGTGTGTACACGTATACGTGTATAAATACTATTCCAGTGATTTAACAGTATGTCATTTCTTGCTATAATTAAATTTGTTTTTAGCAGCTTGTGTTCTCCATGGCACCATATTAGAGTAGACAGTACGAAGCTCATTTAAGATAAAGGGATGAGTGAAACCTCAAGATGTTTTGTGCAAGTGACCACAGCTCCTTATGGTAAAAGTGGTGCATTTGCTGGTTGAACCATCTGTGCAAGTGTTGAAATGTGTGCCATCTTTCTGTTGCAGTTAAGGGCGGTGCATGAGCAGCTGGCAGCACTGTCGTCTGCTCCCATAGTCAAGCCCAAGAGGAAGCGAGAGAAGAAGAAGGATAAGAAGAAGAAGAAAAAGCAAGAGAAGCGCAAGGGCAGCCGGAGTGTGCCGAGCAATGAGAGAGAGAGGGAGAAAACAACCAAACCCACCAAAAGCAAGTCCAGCAGGGCGGCGCCCTCGTCCACTCAGAGCAAAAGATGCCCCACCAAGAAGAACAGCAAGAGCAACAAGTAAGAGATACTTGTTTGTATTTTGGCTCTTTACTTCTTTTAAAGTGAGCTTAAATTATGACAGGGCAGTATGAAAAGATATATTATTATAGGCGACAGTATGCTTTTCTGAACATATTGTGGATATTGTCAGTACTTGTAGACACTGACCAACTGCATGTTTCATTACAGAGCAAGAATAGTCCAATTTAACAGCACAGTATTGAATAAAAATCATTGTCATCAGTTTTTGATAGTATTTTTTTTAAATATTGCACTGCTGGTTCTTTTTTTTCCTCTCTATTTCACCTGATCGGATGGCTGCAAAAATAAATATCGGGACATATGTGTGTCATGAAAATCTCCTAAAGTATAGTAATATTGTTTTTGCCATATCACTCTCCTCTACCAGGAACTAGTCAGTGTTGGCGAATGCTAACTACCTTTGTGTAATGGTAAGCAGGCCTACATATTAACAATTAATGGGTATTGTTGTTTTTGAACTATGGCTGTTGCTAATAACCATATAATAAACTATGCTTAGCTAGATTCATTTATTGAAGCATTTATTGATCCAAACGATTCTGCCGTGTTTGTCACAATTTTTCTTCTTTAGTTTAGTGCTAGGCCTTGTTTAGTGCAAGGCTAAGGTTGCTAACAAAAACTAAGTCAGTAAATATAGAAATCTTTCTGTAAGTTTGTCTGTAAAACTTCTCAGCCCACTGTAACTTCATTTAAGACCAGGGAAGTGTTTCACAAAGCAGGATTTCTGAGTTCAGCCAAATAACTTAAACCCAATGTCGAGCCTGTCCAATAGGAAAAGAGCTGTGGGGTAATTCTCATATTTGGGCTTAAGTTCTCTGGCTGAGAAATCTTGCTTTGTGAAATACCCCCTTGATGTGGATATTGGGCAGACAAGCTGTGGACATTGTCAGAGAGTCTCCTCAGTCTGTAGACTAAGGTTAAGAGCAGCCTTTGTCCACTTTTTTGTTGTTTTTGTTTTTGTTTTTTTATTTGTTTGCTTCCATTTACACTGTGCATTTATAATCATAGTGTTTACAACTTTTACATGATTGATTGACGTCAAATCACAGCGGCTCAAACCTGAACTCTGTTGGTATGGCACACTATATTTGGCAGCTTAATGGATGTGCTTTTGTGGTCCTGTCACAGCCGCACTGCTATTACTAAGACAGTTGCTATTCTTGCGCCTGTACATTTCTGTTTAAAATAGCAGAGGGTGGCCAGACTTAATTTAATTATAGTGAAATAATTTAATCATGCTAACTGAGCTACGTTTGTCAAAGTGCTACTTGATGTTCCCAAGGAAACCTTTGAAAGTCTGTACCAGCTCAGGTTTTGTCATTCTGTAGAAATGCTGTCAAAGTATTAGTGCCTGGGAGTGTAATTACAGTGTAGGTGCAGCCTGTACCAAATAATAATAGTAATAACTTTTATTTATATAGTGTCTTTCCTAAGCCCCAGGTTGCTTACAAAATCAATCACAGAGAACACATTGGAACATACAAATAAAACAGCAGAAAGTACAAAAGGTATTAGGATAACAGAAGTAAACAAGCAAGCAGAAGAAAACAATAAAAACACTACACGTCATAAGGTAGCAAAGAGAAAAACACAAGACACACTGTTTATTCTTTGGTCTTGTTTGCTGTTGTCAATCCACTTCATTTTCTTTTCTCCATTTCCTAGGACCACCAAGAAATCCTCTGCTGCAGTGCCTCGTTTCACTGCAGCCACGGCCACTGTATCTCATTACGACTCAGAGGAGGAAGAGGATGTTCTGCCCATGAGCTATGATGCCAAACGGCAGCTCAGCCTGGACATCAACAAGCTCCCGGGTGAAAAGCTGGGTCGTGTTGTTCACATCATTCAGTCCCGTGAGCCATCACTGCGTGATACAAACCCCGAGGAGATCGAGATCGACTTTGAAACTCTGAAACCATCCACGCTGCGTGAGTTGGAGCGATACGTCATGACCTGTCTGCGCAAAAAGCCAAGGAAACCCTACGGTGAGCCTGCAGACAGCGTGTACAAACACCACCTGTAGAGGTGGTAGAAGAGAATTTATTGTTTTATGTTAAATAATATAACGGTGATAATATTTTGCCCTTAATTAATTTCTTTACACCAAACTGGCTGTTCAGAGTGACATTTTCTTTATTAGCTCAGAGTTATTTAAGTCAGCTTTCAATTTATGCTCATATAATAAAGTTTTTACTTTTTCTGTGTGTGTATAGTGGCGAAGAAGGCTGGTGGTGGGAAGTCTCGTGAAGAGCTGGCTTTAGAGAAGAGAAGGGAGCTAGAAAGGAGGCTTCAGGATGTTAGCGGCCAACTCAATTCTGTCAAGAAACCCCAGAAACCCAAAGGTGAGAAACATTCTCGGTATCCAGAGGTGCCCAATACTGGCACTAGATTACTTTGGTTTCAGTGATAATGAGCATTGTGGTTCTCTAGCACATAGGAAAAGAGCAAAAATGTGGAATTACAGGGGATCGCTTAGGAGTGGTTTTAGGAAAAAAAAAAAAATTAACATGTGTGATGCACATAATATTAATAGTGATGCAAAGCACTGCCCTTACGAAGCGCCAGAAGCTTCCTGACAAGTACTAATAGTGCCCCTTTGTGGAGAACGTTCAGCTTGCAAAATGTGGAGAAGTTAAAAACCAGGTCCATGAGGTGCATTTAAAAATGTCACTAGAGGAACTTGAAGTAGTGAAATACATACAATAAAAAAAAACAAAAAAAAACGCAGTTTTATTTTGGCCAAAAAAGCATCATATACTTTATGGAATATTATTATAATGGATTAATTGATCATACCATTTCAAAATTATTGTAGTTGAATTACTACCCACACATTATTGCTTCACAATTCGTTTTTACACCACTTTTATCATCAGATCCAGTTATCAGTGTTGACTGCTGGTAAAAATGGTTCTGGTGTTAGCTGTTACTCTGCAGCTTTTACAGTTTCGAATGTCCTGAGGTTTGACAACAGTCAATATAATATATTCCCTGGGGTTAAAACGTGTGCCTTTTCCTCTCTCTCTGTCTCTCTGTCTCTCTCAGTGGAGAAATCCAGCAGTGTGGAGCAGCATGCAGTGCCCGCTCGACTCAGCGCCAGCAGCTCCAGCTCTGACTCCTCTTCATCATCATCCTCTTCATCCTCCTCCTCCTCAGACACCAGTGACTCTGACTCAAGGTGATCAGTCACACAGAAAGAGAGTAAACTTGGCCTTATGGGAGCTCCAGGTCCTGCAGGCTGAACTGTGGAAAATTCTGGCACAGTAGGCCCTTGTATGCCTTTGGAGGGTGATCCAGAGATGGAGGGATAGAAAAAGGAAAAAGAGAGGAGGGAAGAGACATTCCACTTCATTAAATTTTTCCACAGTAGACACAGTGATGTAATGGCTGCAGATCCCTGAAAACAATGTGTTTTTGTGATTCGTTTGTAAAAAAAACAAAAAAGCAACAAACTTGTACATAATGTATTGGATTAATTTTTTCTTTTATAAAGAAGACTTTTATAAAAACGCCCATAGTGGGAGACTTTAAATGGGATTACATGGACATAGAAGCTGCGCTGCTGTCTTTAGTTGGTAATATGAAAGTTGTTTTTGTTTGCATTCTGTGTGGATTTAGCGCTTTGTTTGAAATCCTGTTCCCTCTGAACCCCAGTGTTTGAGGCTTAGTCTGAGTGGAGTTCCTGAAAGCTTACCTCTGAAGCCAGCAAAGCAGTGATAACTGTAATGTCCTTTAAAGGAGTTTTCCAGAGCTTTTAAATCTAATCTATATCTGCTACATCGATATTGTGTCATTGATCACCACATGTAGGTCCCTGTACTGTAAAAGAACAGGAAAAAAAAAAGTATTCACATAGAAGGCAGAGCTGGGCGATATGGTGAAAATTTAATATCACAATGCTTTAAGAATGTTTCACGATACGCGTCATTATCTTCATATGTTTATTGGTTTATTTTATCTGAAATCTGATAAGTAGGAACAGACAAAGTAGTGCTGCATTTAAAATACTGTCTAAAACTATGAATCCAGTATTTTTTTAACATCTCACATACTGTGCTGCACTACATCTAGTTAAACAGGACCATTATGCGCTCTGTAATCAAACATGCACTTGAAAGGTGTTTAAGTACTGGCCGTTTCCACGATATGCTCAGAAAAGCTTATGTAATTTATCATGATAACGATAAATATTGTCATATTGCCAAGCCCTAGTAGAAGGTATTGGGCAGTTGCTGATTTCCATTAATAAACATTTTAAATGCATGACTGTGTAACACAAATTTGTTAATGGTTATTAGCTGTTTAAGTCGTACGATGAGACAGACATAAGAGAAAAGCTGCTTTTCTGACATTTTATCCATTTTTGAACATTGGAACAACACAGTGGAAAGTAGTTCCAGTTACTTTTGCTTTCCATATGGTTTTGTGGTATCTGCAGTGATCAGGCAAGGAGCTTTATGCTGATAATAAACCACCTGGCAAAATGACATCTTTGATGGGGATAATTATGCAGGTTTATAGCTTAAAAATACACATTTCGCATAAACATTTGTTTACAAAATTCAGCACCTGCCCACTAGTTTCTATTATAAGCCTGTTTTGAGTCAGTAGGTATTTTCTGAAGACAGGGACGTTTAAAAATGCTGGTACACTACAGACTTTGTAGTACAGATTAGGCTGAAAAACGCTGGAGTGTTCCTTTTATTCCTTTTAAGACTGGGTGCTTCTTGAGGTGAGCAGTTTGGAGGCTGTACAAAGAGAATATGTGCTTTAAATCTGAACCAGTAAGCAAGAGATTCCACTGAATATCTGAATGTGGAAGAAAGCTCATGGCCTTGTGCTCGTTTGCCGACTCTGCTCAGTCAGAGTTTGATTTTCTTGAATTTCTTTTAGTGTGTAATGACCAACCAAAGGGAGAAATAGCTGTTCTAAAACTTGGATGGTTCAAAATAGCCAGTCTTCGGTGTTCCAGTTAGTGTGCTGCAGCTATTGCAGTGACCAGTAGTGTGTTTAAAAAAAAAATAGATCACTTAATTTCTTTTGTTCCTTTTTTATGTGTTGAAGTTCATTTGTTTGATTGTTTTTACTTCATCAAATATGAATGTGACCTCCCAAGTTTTGGACCTTTCAAAAGATCGGCCTCGAGCCAAAGTTCATTACATTTATCCATTAATTTCCTTCCCTTACGCAGTAGACAAATGAGGTGCGTCCATCCATAATTTCCAGTGAGGCCCACATTATCAGTGCAGGCTGGAATGACCTCAGTTGTGTAATGCTGACTGTGTCTGTGCTAGCTGTCGTTCAATATTAGCAATAGTTTTTTGGGTGAAGTACTGCTTTAAGGGGTGGATCCAAAACTTGAGTATTTCCAAAAGGGAAATGGCATGATGTACAACTATAACATTGTCAGATGGGCTTTTTTAAGTTGGTTTGGTGCTTTTGGGGAGGGAAAAAAAAACAGCTAGTGCATTAAAAGCAACAGCGTGATCTTTTATTATCTATTCACTGTATATAATGTCAGCTGAACGTGATTCTACTTTTTCTTTCTGCTTTGTTTGTAAGAAATGTCTTTTTTGCCCCCAGTGTAAAGGATATCACCAGTTTCTTGTGACCCTTGTAAGCTGCACAGATGCAACATTCCGTTACTGCTATATTTATATTATACCCTTTGAATTGTTTGGTTTTACTTGGGTGCAAATACACATATACCAACTTCACAGAGATGGTGTTTTTTTCATGCTGTTGGCCTCTTCTATTCATTGCTTCAGTGTTGCTTTCAATTTCTGTTAAAGCCCTTGGGAAATCCAGGGTGTTTTTTTTTTCCTCCCAAAGTTGGTTAATCTTGCTCTTGTGGGCACGATTTTTATATAATATACACACACACACACACACACACACACACACATGTACAAAGCATGTCTTGTGAATAACCTTGCAATGCCCAATAAATGGCAGACGTTCTCCTCTTTTGGTGTAAACTGGGCAGTCCTAATCTTTGGGTAGTGCTTGCGTAAGCAGTAATCCCACCAATCACAAGGCTGATGTTGTCCCATTTCTGTCCCCCTGCATTCTCTTTCTGTTCAGTCACAGAAATTTCCTGAGAGAAAGCTAACAACCAAGCAGAGCTGAGCTATCAAGCTTTCTTATCTGTCTGCCTGTCGTCCATCTGTTCGTTCTTCTGTCCATCCGACCGTTTGTTTGTTCCTTCATCCAGCCATGGCAGCACTCCCTGAATACACATCCCACAATTCACTTGATCAAAAAGTTCTTTGCACCATGATGGAGAACGTGTTTTATATGGTTCTGTATAGAACCATTTAAAAAAAGGGTTCTTTATAGTACCGAAGGTTCTTCTGTTACAGGCATAACAACAGAAGAACGCTTTTTGGTGCTATATAGAACTATCTTCAAAAAGGTTCTACATAAAACCATCTATGGCACATTCCCCAACAATCTGAAGAACTCTTTAATGATGCAGAGAACTCTTCAATAATGCGGAAGTAGCAAAAGTGCCAACCAGTCAGCACTACTTAGGAGTAACACAGTTGTCCTGCTGCCCAAAACCTGTTTGCTGTAGAAAGCTGGAAAAGATACAGTTTTAATGTTTTAATTTTTTGTTTAGCCCCTTTCACACTCATTTATTGAGGACTCACTCATGGGCACCCCCTAGCCTTTTGCAGTTTTTATATGTATGTATGTATATGTATGTGTATATATATGTATGCATGCATGCATATATATATATATATATATATATATATATCATATATACTATATATAATACATATATACTATATATATATATACACACATACATACATAATGGCTGAAACAAGAAGCGGCCAGGCCCTTAGATATAAATACAGTATATAATACTATGCATGGTACACGTATATAAAATAGATACAAATCTATGTATATCTATGGCCAGGCCACGGACATGCCCAATCTGTCGTCTTCGTTGTCACCTTGCCAATGCTGGAGATGACCGAAAGCCATTAGTGAGTCACAAAAGTTCATAAAAATGGGTTGAATAAAACAATGTTGCAATTTATAGACACGAACAAAAGTGTTTAGTTTTTCTGAGGTTTGTGGACAAGCCGGAAAAGACCAAATGCACCAGTGCAAAGCAGTGTAACATATAAAATGAATTAATATGAAGACTTTTTAAGATCAGCATTACAAAAAAAATTAAGAAATAACAGGAGTAAAACGCAAACAGCTGATAAAAATATTGTTTACAGGCTCTAAAATTGGTCTAAATCTCTTTTTTATGATCCATGTGGTTCTTCCCTGTTCTAGAAGTACTTACCATACCCATCATATACACTGATCAGGCATAACATTATGACCACCTTCTTGTTTCTACGCTCATTGTCCACTCATCCACTCATACCAGCGCAACACACACTAACACACCACCGCCACATCAGTGTTACTGCAGTGCTGAGAATGATCCACCAGCCAAATAGTACCTGCTCTGTGAGGATCCATGGGGGTCCTGACCACTGAAGAACAGGGTAAAAGGGGGCTAACAAAGTATGCAGAGAAACAGATGGACTACAGTCTGTAACTGTAGAACTACAAAGTGCACCTATATAGTAAGTGGAGCTGATAAAATGGACAATGAGCGTAGAAACAAGGAGGTGGTCATAATGTTATGCCTGACCGGTGTATTTAGAAAAGTGTGTTGTGACGTAATTTATCGTATCAGTGATAACATATTGTAATATCACCCACTCTTAATACAAATCAGGATGCAGTGTTTTCAGTGCAATGTGCAGGCAAAAGCTCACAGTGGTGCACTTGTATCACAGGAGGTGCATGTTACTGAAAGGCACTTTGCATAACAGGAAAAACCAGTCAGGCTGTCACTGTAATGAGGGAAGCAAAATCTTACAGCCTTACATTTTACACATGCAAATAGCTCTGCTTTGTTCTGTAGCTGTGGCCTCTGTTCTTACACTTAATGCATTTGATATCAGCACATTCATCTCCACACAATAACAGCTAAACCGTGTTTACGCTCAGACTTTATTATACACTGTAGTTTAATGTTTGTCAGTTTAATTCCTTCAACAAATAAATGCGCTTCACTGGTTTCTAATGACATCCTAGTCTGACCATTGTTATCAAAGGGCTTTGTTAAATGCCAATGCCACACAACTCTCACGCAATAAGAGAACAGAAAGCTGAGCTGGAATTTATTCTGTGTTTTCCGAGATCCATTAAGGTATTTACATAGCAGAGACAGCGAAACAAGAGGAAGTGCCCGAGTGCCAGTGAACACCTTGTGTTTGGTGAGAAGCTGCCAGTCGAGTCACTCACTGTGATTTGAACAGACAATGTGGTGTGTCCAACACTGTTTGGCCTGTTGGTGGTCTTAAGTTTACATGTGGCTGGTAAGTTAAGACGTTTATTGCATTGGCATGAATATCTGTTCAGTGCACTATGATCTGTTGCTAACACTTTTAGATGTTTCACTATTAGGTAAATAGTGAAGCATTGATCTTGAATTTAGTGGTTTGTCTGCGTTGATTCTATAATATTGTAAACAAATATAACTAATTCAAATAATTTAGTTTAAAATTAATTTTAAAACAACCCCACAACGTCTTGGATTTCTGGTCTGTATTCAGTCACAGTTTCTCATGTTTGTTATATGAATTGAGTAGTAGAGATTGCACTAGGACTTTCCAACATTCAGATGTTTTGTGGTCACTTGATGATATAATAATGTCTGTTAAAGGGGAATTTCTGCATAATTTGGTCACTAAGAGGTGGTCATTCAGTGCAGTTTGATGTGAAATCAGTATAGAGTTTAGCTTTGTTAAAGACTGAATACACTGATAAATCAATGTGATCAGTCATTAATCTGTGTTACTGAGCTCTGCTAAAGCCTGAATAGACTGATACATCAATGTGATCAGTCATTAATCTGTGTTACTGAGCTCTGCTAAAACCTGAATACACTGATAAATCAATGTGATGATCAGTTATTAATCTGTTACTGAGCTCTGCTAAAGCCTGAGTAGACTGATAAATCAATGTGATCAGTTATTAATCTGTGTTACTGAGCTCTGCTAAAGCCTGAGTAGACTGATAAATCAATGTGATGATCAGTTATTAATCTGTTACTGAGCTCTGCTAAAGCCTGAGTAGACTGATAAATCAATGTGATCAGTTATTAATCTGTGTTACTGAGCTCTGCTTAAGCCTGAGTAGACTGATAAATCAATGTGATGATCAGTTATTAATCTGTTACTGAGCTCTGCTAAAACCTGAGTAGACTGATAAATCAATGTGATGATCAGTTATTAATCTCAGTGTTACTGAGCTCTGCTAAAGCCTGAGTAGACTGATAAATCAATGTGATGGTCAGTTATTAATCTCAGTGTTACTGAGCTCTGCTAAAGCCTGAGTAGACTGATAAATCAATGTGATAATCAGTTATTAATCCCAGTGTTACTGAGCTCTGCTAAAGCCTGAGTAGACCGATAAATCAATGTGATCAGATAATTAATCTCTGTGTTACTGAGCTCTGCTAAAGCCTGAGTAGACTGATAAATCAATGTGATCAGATAATTAATCTCAGTGTTACTGAGCTCTACTAAAGCCTGAGTAGAAATCAATGTGATGATTAGCTATCAATATCAGTGTTTCTTGGCTCTTTTGAGGGATGATCACTCCTCAGTAGTGGACATATTTGCGACTGATAGGTTTAGTATCAGTGTTGTACTGGACTCTTACTCTGTACATCACTGTAAGCAATTCTGAATTGGTAAGTATCTCCAGAATGGAGCACTCTCACTCTTAAAAAAGATGGTTCTTTGAGAGTTCTTTAGTAAAGAAAATGGTTCTATAATGAACTATGAACATTGAGAACCATGAGAACCCTATGCATGATTAAATGGTTCTTTGCATCATGATAATGTTCTTCAAACTGATGGAGAATCTTGTGTACATGGTTCTATAGGTTTCTTCAGATGTATGGAGAATGCGCTTTGGATGGTTCTATATAGAACCTTTTTGAAAAGAGTTCTATATAGCACCAAAAAGGACTCTGCTGTATAGAACCCATTTCAAAATGTTCATGATTCTATATAGAACCATTTTCTTTACCAAAGAACCCTCAAAGAACCATCTGTTTTTGGTGTGTACATCAAACCACTCTGGATGACTGTGTTTACATCTTAACCAGGCATTTTGAAACATTTTCCCCCTTTTAAGGCCCCAATAGCAGCTGTTCAAACACTGATTAATTCATTTAAAGCGTTAATGTAAACCCTTTATTGTTCTCAGAAGGTAAGCATGTGATGCGAGGGCTCACGTTTTGTCAGCTGAAGGATGTAGACGCTGGGTTTGATCTTTCGTTTGATGAAGACGAGCTGTGGTACGTGGAGCCGTATTACTATGAAGCGCACCAGCGCTTATCTGAATTCGCAGCAGACTGGAGCCTTAATCCAAGCTTGCCCTCAGATGCCTACTACTCCATCGGAACCTGCTTTTACAACATCCCCCGCTGTAGTAAAGGGGAAGAATACCCACTGGAGACCATAGGTAAGCCCCTCATGTCTGAGATTAAAGTAATCGTATTTAAGGGGCCTGAATTCCAATCAGAGCCCTTTAACTGAGTATCTGCCAAGTACTTAAACGTTTTTTTCGTAGATCATATAGTCACACAGCACTGAATAGGCTTCTTTTGCTACTTTTCTTA